AATAGTGGGCCGTCGACTGGGAATATTTCACGTTGCGGCATTTCTTTGTTTGTGCCAATATAAAAGCCTCTGTCAGGATGAAGATGTTCGAGTCATGCGTGCCTTGTAGTCGGAGGAATCATTTGTTTTTTAAATGATCAACGTGGGAAGCAGGAAGCAGTCAATATTAGAGTCGACTCTCCGTTGAGCCGCTTCTGCTTTCAGCGTCTCAAGCCCTCGGCAGGTGCGGTTTTAATTGGTGCTGCTCTTTCAACAAGCCTCAAGATTTCACTGCTAATTAGTTTGCTACTTACAAACTTATTAACATCCAAAGCAGGACCATTCAACCTAATTTTCCAGAAGGACATTTTTTTTTCCACAGGGCGTTTGCCTCTGAGCCCGATAACTGCCTTGTGCACTTCTAACAGTTTTGTGCCAAAGAATATCCTAATTACTATTTTCAAATGTGATACTAATGAACACATGTGTCTGTCTGCTAGATACTGATAATCTATGACATAATAATGATAATAATAATAATACATCAAACTTGTATAGTGCTAAAATGCAATAAAAATTAAAAGAGGGGTTTATGTAAAAGTTTGTTTGAAAAGATGGGTTTTGAGTACTGGTTTAAAGTTTGGTAGTGAGTCAGAGTTTGTAAAGGGCAGTGGGAGTGAGTTTCAGAGGGTTGGGGCGGCATCTGCAAAGGCTCTGTCCCCGAAGGTCCGGCGGTTAGTGCGGGTGATGGGAGTGAGGAGGTGGGAATCGGCTGAGCGAAGGCGGCGGGTGGGTTGGTGCTGTTGTAGAAGCTCAGTAAGGTAGGGCGGGGCCAGGTTATGGAGGGACTTGTAGGTGAGCAGAAGGAGCTTGAATTGGATGTGATTTTGAACGGGAGCCAGTGGAGCTGCTGGAGGACAGGGGTGATGTGTTCTCTGGACCGGGTGTGGGTGAGGAGGCGAGCTGCAGAGTTCTGGATAAATTGCGGTTTTTGGAGATGAGTGGTAGGAAGTCCGTAGAGGAGGCTATTGCAGTAGTGAATACGTGGATGAGAATTCCGGCTGTTGACTGGGTAAGGGAGGGGCGTTGATAGGACATCCATTATTATGATACAATGTCAAATAATCTACAAGTTGATTCATTTAAGACCAGAGTGATTTTTTTGTGTGCCACTTTCAACATCATCATCCACACACAGTTCAAATTCCTGATGCTACTACTTTCATAAATAAAAAATACACATTGATTATCCAGTTGTCATTTGGAGTATGCAGTTGTTCTAAGAAAAACTCTCTTTTCCTGTTTGATTTCTCTGGCTTTATTTCAATTACACTTTTTTATTCCAAGGAAACGCTCTATTTTGAACTTGTATTTGTACATCTCGTTCACCTCTTATATATCTCTATCTGTCCCTAGCATCTGTGCCGTAATTTAATTTCCTTTCCAGACGTGTGTATTAATGTGTTTGCTTCACAGTTGGTCTCCTTATCTCACTCTGTCAGCATGGGACCAAGAAAAAACACCCCAACAATGCACTTTAGCCGTTTCAGCCAGCGGTGGTCCTCACAATCCTTTTGTTATGCTCGTCGGTGAAAGATTATGATGTAATTTTAGCACAACAAGAGCTGAAATGCTAAAGTTTTTATCCATCTATGTTTGGGGGAAAAGCTGCAGGAGAGGGATGAGATTTAATGGTTAGCTACAGAAAAACAACTGCAGGGCTTTCTGTGGCATCACTTACATCTGCTTTATCAGGCTCTGGCCCCATTACTGCTGTGATCAACGAGGAAATGTGTTGGAAAGTTTTCATGCAACAATGTATTGTATTAGTCATTCAGTCGTTAACAGTAATATAGTTGAGAACAGAAAGGTGAAACTCTCTCAGTTTGGGATCCCCAGAGGTTTCTAAAATCTTTTCCAACTATTCTTTTGTTTTTGAGTTGTGCCTAATTTAAATGAACACCTCTCAATTGATTGGCATTGTGCCAATTAAAAATGTTTGCGCAAAACACAGGCACGTGGATTTACAGTGGTCTAATCTTTTTGCAAACATTAAACCAACATCTTTAAATTTTGCTTTGAAGTTCCTTCAAAGCCACACTTTATACATGGGTCTGATATGTTTCTGTTGTATATGTTTAGTTTTACGGGTGTAATGTTGTTGTCCAGTTTAAAACTTATGGAAACTCATCTGGACCGTTTATTTTCAGACGTTTGCTTCCTGTGAAACGATTACTAGAGACACGAGGCAAGCAGATGTTTTAATGAAACAGTATGAAACAGCCACACTAATATTAGATATGTATTCATTTGGATGTATAGTTGCCCTTCACTCATTTTGATCTTTGAGATTTTTTTCGCTCCATTGTGCGGAATTATAGTGCCTTTGATTGTGCTGTGGAAAGTAAATGGCTTTTACAGTTGTCCGGGAAGTCCAATTCTCAAAGTACCAAAGCTTGATTATGTTTCCCAAAAGGGAATGTAGCACATATGGACCCTCCTGACTAGCATGCCACTTTTTATTCATGTAGCATATATGGATATCTTTATATTTATAGTTCATATATTAACTACAGCAAAGATATTGGTCTTGGGCCAAGACCAGAAGGTAAGTGTGGCTCATGTGAGAGGGAGGGGTGTGTAAAGGCCATAAAAAGAGACAGTGATATGGTGCAGTGTACTGTGCGACATGGAGTGAAAATCAACAGGGTTACAGGACTTTGATTTACAGTTATACTTCCAAACTTTAAGAGCTCAGGCCAAGTTACTGGACGTTTTTGAGAATGTCACAAGGCTCTCAATCAGATATTGACCCACGCATGTAGAGTGGGACAGGAGTGGACTAACCTGTGTGGAAAAGGACTAATTAAATCCTGTTGTGTAGTGTAGTCCATATTCTGTGCCGTGAATAGTTTAATACAGGTGTTGGAAAACTTTACATGAACCAACGGTGCAATAAAAGGTTGTTCAAGGTTTAACAATTCCAAACTCACAATTTGCTTTAATTCACGATGCAGATGGAATAAGGCAAAAGGTTGTTTTTGTGTATTTTTTCAGATTCAGGACTTTCCAACGTTTTGGATTACCCAACAACAGATCAGGAAACTATAATCCAAACACAGGAAATACAATGTTAACAAACACATAGGAGCCATTGGTCCATAGAGAGTGGGATGAACAATGTCCATAAATGTAAAATAAATGTCCCGGATCATCACCGTCCTTTGAACCGCCTGCATCAAAAAACAAGTGGTAAAAGTGAGAAACCTCAGAGAAGCCCATATGGAGAGAGGTGCAGGACTGAAGAGGCTCCCAGGCAGGTTCGGACACAAAACCCGTCCATCTGAAACATTTCAAAACAGACGTCAACAAAAACGTACAAGGACAGGACAGGAACAGACAAAGCAGTCGTTTGAACAGCGGCCAGTAAACATGGTTCAAAAACAGGCTGTAATCTTTGGAATCACAAGCCACTTTTGTAATTATTGTGACAGCGTTTATTCTTGGTCTGAGCCGATGGAAAAGATGGTGCTGTCTAATTAGTGTCAGAGTGTAATATGATGTTTAAACAGGATGCTACTCGCTCAAATATGCACATGCTATTTTTGCTTCCTTTGCCTTCCTTATCTTTCAGCAGTTAGGCGCTAATAAAGACAAACAGCTGCTTCTGACAGATTTGAGGATGGGTTTATGGAAAAATCTTCTGAATGATAATCTCGCTCACATCAACGTTCTTTCAGGAGACACCGTGTATGAAAACAGGCAAAGTGAAAAGATGCGGCGTCCAATAAACCAAGTCACTATTTTGGATTTTTTTTTTTTTTTTTTTACAGATTACTTTTCCCCTAAATCATCGTTTTATGAGTAAGAATTGGAATACGAGCCAAGACAGGGTCACTGTTTAATTTTCAAGCTGTTCCACAAGGGCATGTTGTGCTAACATTGCCAGGCAGATAATTGGATGACATTTCAGAGCCAATAGAAAACTCATCGGTTTTGATTCATATTTTCTCTTTTTTTTTTTTTTTACAACCAGAGCAACAATTTATGAGGCATGGGACAAGGAGGGGACACACATGAGCGAGAACAAGACAAGAAATGTATATTTTATGTTGGAGCAGAGTTCATACAAATACCTGTAAAACTCGTAAATTAGAATATTGTTTAAACGTTAATTCATAATTCAACTTCAAATATGCAACTAATATATCCTTTGCTTGTGATAATTTCAATGATTTTCAATATAGTCAAATTAGTGTTCGTGCCGGTGTATCCTAACGTTATTAAGAAAGTCACTCTGAGCTTCATAATAAGCTCTGACTGGGCTGAAGTTAACTGAATGATTACTGATCATCTCACCAGCTACATTAGTGTCCTTATCAGAATATTGTGACACAATAAAAATAAATGTCAGTATGTATAAATATGTAGAACACAAGAACAAGACAAGATTTTTGTATATTTGTATAAACTGACCTTCCATTATTATAAGCTCACTAGGTGGATTCCAGAGGTCCTGAATTTTACAACAAAGCATGCATGTCTTTTTATTTTTTATATAATAGCCTCAATTTTTTCTCTTACTTACTTGAACAATATTCTAATTTTCTGAGTTTTACTTGTAACTTCAATAGTTGTTGTTTATCAGAAAATTATCACTGAAAGCAACGTTCTTCACAATTTCCTCCTCACAAATAATGATTTATATTTAAAAAAAGATTATACAGTGTTGTACATTTGTTCCTAATCCTTTGCCATATAAAGCTGAGGCAGATGACGAAAGTAGTAGTAGAAGTAGCGCCTAATAACCTGAGGTACATTATTCATCTATGTATGTATTTACCACACAGTAGGCCAAAACGTGATATATTTAGGATCGCAACCCATTCCTTGATTTCATGTTTGCTCTCAGTATCATATATCCTCTAGAAAATGTCTCATGATTCTCCTTTTGATTCTATTCAAAATGTGTCCATTCTGTCGCCACAGTAAAGTTTCACATGATTCTCTATTCTCTTCAGTGCTGCATCGATAACTATGAGGAGATGGTGAAGATCCTCCTGGAGCGTGGAGCCAGTGTGAACGCTCAGGACAACGAGCTGTGGACGCCGCTGCACGCCGCCGCCACCTGCGGACACGCCGGCCTCGTCAACATTCTCATCGCACAGTGAGCGACACAGAAAATACATCACACATTACTGCAGCTGCATCGATCCAATCTCTCATGTCAGTGGATACACAATATGAACCGATTAAGGAACTGAACCTTTTTATTTTCTTTAGATTAAAAATAATTTGATAAAATGGGTCCAATTGTATTTTCAACGGGCATTTAATCCTAAACTAATTTACTACAGGTTCAATTAAATTAAGTTTATTTTTGCATTGCCCTAGATGACAACAGCAGTCCTCTCGGATGACTTTACAAAGTTGTCAATTCCTCAGCAACAGATCAGAATCAAACAGTGTCCCCCCAACCTCCGTACCATTGACTCTCTTCCACTCTTCAATCAAATCCAGACTCAAAACCCATCTGTTCAGACTGTCCTACCCCACCTAACACAAACGCACCCGCCATTCCATACTGCACTACTGTTTTATTCTGTTGCTCCCGTTTTTAATATTTTTATTATGTCCTGTACAGTGTCCTTGGGTGTTTTGAAAGGCGCTTTTAAATTAAATGTATTATTATTAAACACAGGACATGCAATAATAACACATACATAGGATCCATTTGTCCATCAGGAGCAGGATGACCAATGTCCAATAATGTAAATAATGCATCGACAAGGAACAACTCAAAAAAACCCTGTGGGGAATAAGTGAGAAACCTCAGGGAGGCTATAGATCCCGGACTTGGGCTGTAGTAGAACTGTGAGGTTCTAATATCAGCCAGTAAATATTACATAAACTCAAGACATCCACTTAACAGACATCATTGAACTGATGCTCGATCCAACACATGTTCCAGTATGTTTGAATATTTGGTGCCAGTATTATATGAGTGCATCCCTGCTACACATAATCTTTCAAAGCTTCATATCACTGACACTATTAAGTTCTAAATGTGTTTCAAAATGATGACAAGTGACTGTGATTAACACATGAAAACATGAAAATGAATGTTGCAAGATAAAGGAAGGTAAAACCTGCTGTGGACGCTGAACTCCATGAATTGGGTCATATCAATGTAGTTTGGACTAGTTTAATATCTTTGGGATGGCGTCTTTGAATGTACGTATATTGTCATGTTCAAAATCTGTCATCTTATATTCTGTCTGAAAAACTGAAAAAACTTAAGACTGAAAATACAACTTCCAGGGCACTTTTAGTTTATGTTTTCCAGTGCTGCCTTAGTCTCATTTTTTGACACCACAAATAGCAGGATAATTCATAAAACCAATAACAAACAATAAGCAGCAGAATGATGCTGTAATTGGCCCTAACACTGACCTATTCAACACTCTGAAATGTCCCCACTGTGGAACGAAGAAAGGATTATCTTATCTCTTCATCTTAATTCTCTAGTCTGGCAAAAAACTGTCCCATTATTACAAATAAAATGCACGGACGATTAAAAGGTCGATATTGTAATTATCTTGACTTTACATTTCTTTCAGCATCTGTGGTGAGGGAGGAACCTTTTAAAAAGCCACATTATTTGCAATGAGTTCAGTTCTAAAATGGATCTGTAAATAAAGCTGTTTTTCAGTCTTTGCACACAAAAGCCTGGATAAAGTCCTTAGTTTGATTGTCCCAGCAGACTTTACTAGACAGATTAACTGGATTCAAGGCCAGTAGTTTACGCCATAAATAAGAAAATGTTTATTTCCCTTGTCAAATTCTACACTGCACAGCCGCCCGATTATACCACAGCTTTAAATAGAAGAAACAAAGAGTTATTGTTTTGGTCTGCAGTTAATGCTTAATTACATTTTGATGCAGGTACATTACGAGAGTGTGGGCTGTTCTTATCATTATGACAGAACGCATTAAGCAAGCATATTCAATTAACGTCCGCCTGTGGAATTGTAATCATATCTTAAATAATACATGTGTCATATGAATAAGGAATGAAATAATTGTTCAATAGGAGTGATCCTGCTTCTCATAATCCACACGAGTTTCTTTTCAATAATCATGTGCAGATAGAACTCATACTGCAGGGCTTTTCTAATGACTTGTCAAATCAACAGGAGCCTTATATGCCACGCAGCGACTGATTAAACTCTGAATAATGCAGCCAGACTTGTCGAGGATTCAATCATCATCATGGATCATATTTTGTATTTAGTTTTGCTCTCCACAGCTTTCACTATTCTCTACAAACTGATGATCAACGACAAACAACTGTTATATAGAAATGAATGTCAGGTCGAATTGTGAAGAGAGTGAAACTTTTTGGTTAGACCCGCCCATGATCACCCCTGTGGCCTCCTGGTTGGTTGAAATAAACTGAAATCCTTGAGGCCCCTCGTCATTGGTTTGACTATTCTCCTCCGGTAAATCTTACTTTATGTTGCCGACTTCACCTTTAAAGTGAAGGTCAATTACTTTTCAAATGTAGAAAAATGGAGAGATGGTTTCCTAACGCAAGCCCCAGTTAGACCCGCCCCACGGCTTGATAGACAGCTGAAACCCCACACCATTGGTTTTACTAACCAGCAAATCTTACAGGTATTCCAAAGGGAGAGACAATTTTATTGATTTATTTATTTATTATGAAAAAATCTTCATATAGATAATACTACAGGGTCATATTACCAAAAAGATGTAGTATTTTCAAAAATACAATTGAAGTTGCTGACATTAATTTAAAGGAGTTATAGCAGCACTGTGATTACTGCTATAATAACCCTGCTGCTGTTATTTCATAACGTGAACAGCACCACACCACCACCTAACCATAAAAAACATAATATTCATGTTCTGAAAACTTCCAGCCCCCCTCATCAATTCAACACTGAAACACGTTCAAAAACAATACCAAAAGAAACAGTGAAAAAGTAACACATTACAGTATTCCATGGTATTCACTCTGACCCATGGATCTAGTGTAATCTGACCCAACATCTCTCTCCCACCGCTCAGTCTGTGTTGATGGCTGAAGGAATCACTCTTTCCTCCACCTATTTCTTCAGTACTTCCTTTTTAAACAGATTTTTAAAATGAGTCAAGTTTTACTTTTTTGTCTCTTCTGAAACTAAATACATTACATTAGGTGGCAGAGAGTTTCCAGATGCCCTGACTGTGTTCAGCTTAAGTTCTTTTAATTTAACAGTGGATGAGAATGATGTCTTTAGTGGACATTAGATATCACAGGATAATAAACTGTATTTTCAAACAGTTTAGCGGCCACTTTGTGCTATGACCTGGATGTAACGACCGTGTCCTCGTGTCTCACAGTGGGGCCAACCTCCTGGCCGTTAACTCGGATGGAAACATGCCCTATGATCTCTGCGAGGACGACCCCACACTGGACATCATCGAGACGGCCATGGCAAACAGAGGTGAGTGTGCGGAGCCACCTGAGGACACGTTTTATCCACTTTTAAAAACATAAGTTACGGATTTATCTGCAGACAGTTGCAATAATGAGATAATGTTTTACCCAGAGCATTGTGAAGCTGCTAACACTCAGAAATTGCCGCTCTCTGCCCTCTGATGTTATTATATTTCTGTTGCCGTAATACTTTTGCCCTTTTTTGAGGAGGTAATACAGCTTGATAAAAAACAAACCTATTAAGAGGTGGTTAGAAACTTGTCTAACGAACTACTATTGTTTTTTCTTTCATAAACAATACAGTGATGTTTTTTTCCACAGAAAGACTTGAATCAGACCACTACAGCTGCTTCATCTTATTAGAAAACTATTATAGCTATCTTTTAACTACTCGTAATAAAGAGCCCTGTGAGTCAATATTTGGCACTTTGGACTTAGAGAGGATAGGTTGAGTGAGGGTGGTTCTCTTTTTCACCTTCTGTATGAAAAAGAAAAATACATGCACATAAAAATCAAACTGTTTTAGAGCCTGAGACTTGTTACATGGATTTTATAACATACTACCGTATTTTTTGCACCTATAGGCGCGGATAAAAGTCTCTAATTTTAACAGTGTGCCTTTAATCCGGTTCACACTATGTATCAATTTCTGGCTGTGTCTACAAACTGAGCTATATGAAAAAATGTAAAAGACGTAGTTGTCCACTGTGGCGTAGTTTTAAAGTTGGCTTTAACTCAGCTTTAATAGCTTTAGCCATCCGTAATCTCCGGTCATTTATTATTTCCCTACATGTATGTCTGGGTCTGATCCAAGCCCTGGTGATCCAAGATGGCGCCCTATTGAAATGAATGGCTTGTACCTAGTAGCCCTTGAGACTTCTCGGGGACCGAAAGATCAGCGGAACTTGCCTATATTTGGGCATCGTCTGGTCCTCCCGGTTCTGCGCAGTGGACGAGCTCCCATGATGCATTACGCCAAATCCGCGTGTGTGGCTCTCATGCACGTGCACAGAGGGACTCGGCTGCGCTTTGACCAATCAGAGCTGCTGATCAGAGCAGCAGCAGAGCGGAGTCAGAGCGGGAAGGAAAACGGCAGTTTGTGGCAGTAAAGTGTGAATTTAAAGAAAAAGAGAAAGTTCAGGATGACAAGGGACAAAATCCCCAAAAAATCAGATATTTCTGAAATCTGTAGGCTCTCTGTCAGCTGAGGTCGAGCTGTTTTAGTTTACATTGAGTTCTATGGGACTTTTTTCTAGGTAGCCCACGTGAATTTAGTTTGCAGTACCACGGGCGCCCCCTGTGCCCATGGGTGGGACAGCTATAAGCTAGTAATATTATATCCAGTTATTATTATAGATCCAAGGTCTGGTCCCAGTGGCTGCTGTTACCTTGGTTGTATCCTAGCCGACCAATCAATGAGCAGAGGAGACGGGTGTTGTAGGTGGGTGTCGTTGACTTCAAGAGTTTGTGCCAAATTTGCTGATTTGCTGTAGTTTTTCAATGGTGGTGAATGAGATGGTAAAATATTCTATTCTGGTTCAGCTCCAAATATCAAGAAGCTGAAGCCAAAGCAAGAAGATGTTTAGCAAATGTTATTACTGGCATTGCCACTCACCATGGGCTCCGTTATTGGCAAAGGAGATGGCTAAAGCTAGGCTAAATGCTAAATTCTAGTGTCTCACTCGGGTGCATTACATACATCACGGCAAATACAGATCCAATCGTTTCAATCTGCAAAAGAAGTTAACCCCTCCCACCTGTTAATCCAGACCTTTGTACAAAATGAAATGAGTACGATATAGTATGATAAGACCAGGGTACTTCAACTCTAGTCTCAGAGTAAAACTACAACCAATGAATTCCACAGAAGATTTTGTTTGTTACATTTTTTAAAAGAATATGAGATTAGAAAAACGTCTCAATACGCCAGATTAAAAGACATTACTGATACATGCACTGTTGCTCTCTCTGCTGTTCTGTTTATCTTTCCTCTGTGATGGGAGGTCAGCGTGTGGATCTCATGGGATCCCAGACTGAGCAGCACATTACAGCAGCTGTGACCTCCAAAAGCACTTGACGCACTCGCGGCCTCAGAGCTGACACTTCAGAGATCTCCTCTGCGTCTCCGCTCCTCTCTCATAATACGATGCAGACTCAGCATGCGCTTACTCTGCTCCGTTCAATTAGAAATCGTCTGGTAGAAAATCCTTAGAAACACAGATATGTTTGGGGCATTTTCACATTATTAGTCACAAAGAAATAGTTATAGTAAGTAGGAAGTAAGTAATTAAACTTCATTAACTTCACAATTACATCAAGGACAGACATTAACGTAATATGACAGTTGGTAATAAGAGGCTAGTATGGGCTACCATGGCACATTATACATCATTATAAAGTGGTTAGTGCTTGTGCTTCACAGCACTGATTCCAGCCGAGCATCAACATCTGGAGATAGGTACCACAGTGACCACTGCTACTTTCAGACGCCCTATTGGCTCCTCACAGAGGCCTATAGTTGCAATGAAGGATGGATCACTAAATATGGGCACATTAACATAAACTTAGCATAATATAAACAAATGAAATTTAAAAAAGCGGGTTAGAGAGATAAAGAGAAAAGTTATGGGCAAGGTTTCCCCAAAGAACAGGGCGTACATACAGTGTTGGGTAGACTACTCGGAAAATGTATTCTGTTGCAGAAAACTGAATACATGACCAGAATGTATTTTGTGTTATATTTCGTTACTTTGGAAAAAGTAGTACCAGTATTCTGAATACTTAGAATGCTTTTTTTATACCTTTAATTGTTATTATTTGTATTTATTGTAAATTAATGTTTATCAATACATAAAATACAAATAAATAAAACATGTTCTTGTTGTTTATTTTTGTGAGACAAGTCAAAGTGCTTCAACAGCTTCCATTCAACAACCAGAAAAAAATTGAATCTTCACTTTAAGAATACGCAACGTTTTCTTTTTTTAACCTTAAAAAATGTACAGTATTGTGAAAAAGTATGTACTCCCATGATTTTCAGAAAGTAGTTGTATTTTAAATAATTGACTTTAAAGTAGTAACTGTTATGCAATACAGTTACTCAGAAAGACTATTCTGAATACATAATGACGATACATGTTCTTTTTCTAACTTCGTTCGGTGTTTCACTATGGGAATCGCCTTGGGCGTGACCATCCATGGAAGCTCCAATGGCACCACGTCTGTCTTTTGACAGACAGGTTGACAGTACCTAGCACCGCCCACCTACCCTGGTACAGTCAACCTCCTCCTTTTGGAATCATTCTCGCTTTCTTCCCGCGTGGAAACCATATCTTTTAGCTCCTTCAGCGTTCTCGGACCTTAGGCTAGCTTCTGCTTAACAGTTCACAGACGAGCCGTAAAGGATTTCGTTGGCGAGCGCAGTTGCTGGTGCTTTGGTTCACCGACGCTGGGTAAGTCCTTACAGTCTTACCACTAAGCTATTATTATTTTGTTACCGGAGCAGTGACCGCGTCAAGGCGAACTGCTCTTGTGTTTACGGGGACAGATCACATTAAGTTGCGGTCTGTCCTATCACCTTGCGGTTAGCATTCACTTGTTAATCCAGGGCTCTCGCGTAAAGCGGAGTCCTTCTGTTCGGTTGGTTAGTATTAATTTACTGGCCAACAGATTGTAGTGCGCGGTTCTGTTAACGTGTTGTGGCGAACAGAATTTGCCTGGACCTGATTTTTCGACTTAAAACCCGAATTGTCTGGTTCATACAATCGTGCTCACTCCAGCTCTGCTCTCTGTCAGGCATGTCTACGGCTACCACCCCCGCCAAAGGGTCGGATCCGAAGCCGAAGGAGGCTGCATCCCGCTCATGTCCCGCGTCATGCGGGTCTGCCATCTCAGGCAGGGACCCTCACCCTATGTGCATAACCTGCATGGGCGCTAAACACGCTCAGGCAGCGCTCGCTGACCGCGAGTCCTGCGGGTATTGCGCATCTATGCCTGAGAAAATATTGGAGAGGAGGCTCAGCGTTGCGGTGGCTCATCCCCACGACCCGTTGCTGGCGGGGACCACCGATAAACCCACAGCCGTCACTCAACAGCCCCGTAAGACTGAACTATGGTCAGATATGCTGAATGACGATGACGCTGATATGCCGCCATTATTCGAGGACCTGCTCGAAGTGGACCCAGGCGACGAGGGCGCAGACGGCGATGATGCCGCTTCTGACTTCCTCGAGGCTGTGGATATGGATGATGTGGAGGAGGACTCTACATTCCCAGCGGCCCAGTCCCGACCCTCCAGCGCATCTGAGGCTGCGACTCCCGTCGATAGCAGCCTATATGATGTGTGCAAGCGCGCTGCCGCCTGGCTTAACATCCCCTGGCCAGCCGCTGTAGATGCGGAGGATGGGGAAAGGGATTTATATGACGGTAAACGGCTCCCGCCAGCGCATCCACCTCCGAAGCAACTTCTCCCTGCTGTCAGCGCATGCATGAGAGAGGTGGGGAGGTTTTGGAATAACCCACTTAGGAGCAAGCTTCCTGTACAGGGCTATTCAAAGCTGGAGATCTATGGGATGAAGGAGCTGGGGTTGGCCGAACCCCCAGCGGTGGAGCCTTCAGTGGCTTTTCACCTCCATCCTAATCGCCGTTCCGTCTCAGCCTCAAGTCAGGTTTCCCTGCCCACAAAATCAGAGAGAGTTACATCCTCCATTCTGCAACGCATGTACAGATATGCTTCTCAATCTGCATGCGTACTGAATACTGTGACTTTACTGTCCGGTTATCAAGGGGAACTACTTGAGGAAATGGGACAACAGCTGGACTCCGGGTCTCCTAACCCGGTCCTCTGGGAGGAAATCTGCGTGGTAAATGACCTCATCCTACGCTCTACTCGTGGAGCTGTCCAGGGCTGCGGCCATGTCATGGGACTGGCCGTAGCGGGTGAGAGGGGTCTATGGCTCAACCACTCAGGTCTGACAGACGCTCAGAAGGCTGAAGTTATGGACACTGCTTATGACCCTACCAAAGGTCTATTTGGTCCGGCCCTGGAGAAGATGGAGACCAGTACCCTCCGTAAAGAGGAGGGTGCGGCCTTTAATCTTTGTCTGCCAAGGAAACAACCTCCTCGTCCAGCGCAGCCCCAGAGAGCGGGCCCCTCTGGACAGACAGGCCCCAGGGTTCCCAGGGCGGGCCCTGGGCCGCAGAGGGGGGCAACCCAGCACCCTGGCCAGCATTCCAACCAGCATTCTGGCCAGCAGCAACGGCCAGGCAACTCCAGACCATGGGGAAAACACTCCTATGCTGCGGCTGCAGCAAAAAACCGCTCTTCTCAGCCCGGGGAGAGCAAAAAGAAGCGCAATTCCTAGCAATCAAGCTTCTTCACCTGTTCCCCCTCTGAAAAGGAGGAGAATGGACCCTGGTACCAGTTCAGAGGCCCCGCACAGTTCTCCAGGCGACCTCTCTGGCTTTCTCTCCCCTCGCACGTTACAGGGAATGAGTCTTGGGTCTCATGTTCACAAAACACTTTTTCAAAAAATAAAGTTGTTAAACTCACATCCAGGCCAAGGGCTAAGGGTGAGTTATCAAACAAACAAAAAAATTCAATTAAGTTTGGATCATTCCCTTCGTTCGCCTCCAGAGGGAGCTCACGCTCCTTCTCAGGCAGAAGGCTCTGCTCCTCTCAGGGGAGTGACGTCACCAGGGATTCCCCTGGTGCAAGCCCCACTCTCTGTCAGAGCGGAGCAGTGGCGCTAGGGCTGGGCGATTAATCGATTTTAATCATTAATTCGAGTTATACGTTTAGGGCGATTTCTTTTTTTAAAAATTCGATTTTTATTTTCTCCAGCGCAGAACTACAGCGCTAACGCGCTAACCGCGGGTCTATGGTGTTGAGCAGTCATTTTGAAGCTAACCTAATGCTAACAGTCTCCCTCTGGCCTGAGGCTCGCTCTCACAGTTGGTGCTGTTGCAATAGCACTTCAAACGTTCAAGAATCAGACTTTATTTAAATCGCCAGAACACACACACACACGCACGCAGGCTCCGGTCGTTATGTCCGTACGCCATGTTCGTACGCCACATCTTTCACGCTCTCTCACGCTCGTTATTCCAAAGCGCACTCCCGTGTCCGTGGCGCGCACACACTTGTGTCCCACTGAGCCGCTGCACTTTGGGGAAAGACACGTCTCACACATTGCTCTCATTGCTCTGATACAAACAACGTGTTCCCCGCTGTCTGTTAGCTACAGTAGCTGCTACAGTAGCTGTTAGCTACAGTAGCTGCTACAGTAGCTGTTAGCTACAGCATCAGAATGTAAACAGGAAGCTCGGACAATGCGGGAGTCACTGAAGTTAGTATTAGCGCCACCAGCTGGACCGAGCGTTGTACTACAGCACAGTTACTCAGGCACAGTTGAAAGAACAAGCATGAAAACCCGAGGAGGCTTTTGGAAAAGACTGTCTGTTACAACATTTCTATTTTGAGTAATCAGTTTTAAAAATGTGATATTTCATGTAAATAATGCATGTGTTTAATAGGATTGATATATTTGCGATGGGCCTTGTTTGTGTGATTTAAGTTATTTTGAAGGTGCATAGTGTCATTGTAAGTGAAGTTATTATAAAACTGTTAAGCTACATTTTCACTGTTTACAATGGCAGAGCCATCTCGTTTACAAGCATGTTTTAAGGCTTAATTCCTGTTACACTTATGCTCCATGGGGATTTAGATTAAACTGCATAAAGGAAAATCTATTTCTTTGTCAGTTGTAGTTTGTTTTTAAATAGAAAAAAATAAATCGATTAAAATCGAAAATCGGATTTGGTGTGAAAAAATCGGAGATTTTTTTTTTTTGCCATATCGCCCAGCCCTAAGTGGCGCGCATGCGCAGTCAATCCTTGGGTTCAATCCACTGTTTCTCGAGGTTACAGACTGCAGTTTGCTATAAAACCACCCTCCTTCAACGGAGTGCTTGTTTCAGTGGCTTCAGGGGACGCAGCCCGTGTCTTACAGGACGAAATTACATCCCTGTTAAGCAAGCACGCTATCCGCATTGTACCAGAGAGCGAGTCTCAGCTGGGCTTCTACTCCCGCTACTTTCTGGTTCCAAAGAAGGGCTCTCTGTCACTGCGTCCCATTCTAGACCTCCGTGTTTTGAACACACATCTACGGAGATTCAGATTCAAAATGTTGACGCACAAAGCTCTGTGTCGTTCAATACGCAAAGGGGATTGGTTCACCACAATCGATCTTGCGGATGCATATTTCCACATCGAGGTGCATCCAGCGCACAGGAAATTTCTCCGTTTTGCTCACGGGGGAACAGCGTACGAGTACCAGGTCATTCCCTTCGGTCTCTCCCTAGCCCCACGGGTGTTCACCACTTGTGTGGAGGCAGCTCTGGCTCCTCTCCGGGCCAGGGGAATACGGATATTCTCTTATATAGACGATTATCTGATATGCGCCAGTTCACAGGGCGCCGCAGTGAGAGAGACTGCCACAGTGCTCAGTCACTTGACCAGCCTGGGTTTCAGAATAAACCACGCAAAGAGCCGGTTGGAACCCAGACAGCAGACTCAATACCTGGGTTTATGCATAAACTCTGTTTCACATCGAGCCACACTGACAGACGAGAGACGGCTGTCTCTCACTCGCTGCTTGGCGTTTTTCAACCCGGGTGCGACAGTCACGTTCAGAACGTGCCTGCGCCTCGCTGGTCTCATGGCGTCAGTAATATCTGTCGTGCGCCTAGGGCTTTTAATGATGAGACCATTTCAACGTTGGATCACAGCGTTGCGCTTGTGTCCCAAACGTCACCTTCACCGCAGAGTGAAGGTGGATTCCCAGTGTGTTATTGCACTACGTCCGTGGCGGGAGGCTCATCATGCTCTTTCAGCCGGAGTCCCGCTGGGCGCCGTGTCGTCAAGGGTTACCCTGACAACCGACGCTTCCCTGTCAGGGTGGGGGGCCACTCTGTCGGGTCGGACGGTGAATGGGACCTGGGACCCACATTTAGCCCAGAGGCACATCAATGTGCTGGAACTTTGGGCGGTGTATCTAGCTCTGAAGCATTTTCTGCCTTTCCTTCAGGACCATCACGTTCTGGTGAGAACAGACAATGCAACAGTTGTCTCGTACATAAATCGCCAGGGTGGTACCCGCTCTCTTCAGCTGCACAGGCTGGCACAGAGGGTGATTTTGTGGAGCGACACAAGGTTCCTATCTCTCCGAGCGTCTTATGTTCCAGGCGTCCTCAACAAGGGGGCCGACCTGCTTTCGAGGGGAAACCCCCTGTACGGAGAGTGGGTTCTCCACCCTCAGGTGGTGGAGCAGTTGCGGCGGAGATACGGTCGGGCTGCCGTAGATCTCTTCGCCTCGCGGGAAAACGCAAAGTGCCCACTGTTCTTCTCTCTGGGAGACGCAAACGCGTCTCTGGGCGTGGACGCTCTGGCCCACCCGTGGCCGACCGTTCTACTATATGCGTTTCCTCCCATCAGTCTGATCTCACCCACCCTAGCGTGGGTGAGAGAACAGAGGCTGTCGCTCATTTTGATTGCTCCCCGTTGGTTGTCCAAGCCATGGATGGCGGAGATAGTGCAGCTTTTATGGGACGACCCATGGCCTCTTCCTCTGCGGAGGGACCTGTTGTGCCAGGCGGGCGGGGAGATTTTTCATCCTCACCCAGACCGGGTGGCTCTCTGGGCCTGGCCCGTGAAAGGTGGAACTTGAACGCCACGGGTCTTCCGGCGCCTGTTATAGATACTATACAGTGTGCTAGGGCCTCCTCCACTCGCTCTTTGTATAGCTGCAAGTGGCGGGTTTTTGAGGGATGGTGTGGGGCTAGACAGATCATCCCGTTCCAATGCTCCGTGTCTGACGTCTTATGTTTTTTACAACATTTGTTAGAAGAGCGTAAGGCTTTTTCTACTATAAAGGTCTATTTGGCTGCCATATCGGCGTGCCACGTGGGTATCGGTGACAAAACTGTGGGACAGCACCCTCTAGTTTGTCGCTTCATGAGGGTTGCTCGACGTAAACTTCCAGTGGTTAAGTCCCTGGTTCCCTTGTGGGATTTGTTGGTCGTGCTTGATGCCCTTTGTCATCACCCTTTTGAGCCCTTAGGGGCTGTGGCCTTGAAGTATGTTGCTTATAAGACAGTTCTGCTTCTTGCTCTGACGTCTGCAAAGCGCGTGAGTGAACTGCAGGCTTTTTCTGTCAGCCCCTCGTGTCTGCAGTTTGCGCTGGGGTTATCTAAGGTGCGCTTGCGCCCTAACCCGGCTTTTGTACCAAAGGTGGATTCTGCATATAGCTGCCCTACACTGGAGCTTAATGCCTTCCATCCTCCGCCTTTCTCCTCTGAGGAGGAGCGGCTACTGCACTCTTTGTGCCCAGTGCGCGCGCTGCGGGTATATGTTGACAGGACAGCTGGTTTAAGGAAAGCCTACCAGTTGTTTGTGTCCTGGGCTTCTCCCCATTTGGGAAAGCCGGTGTCCAGTCAGAGGATCTCTCACTGGATTGTGGAGACAATTTCTCTGGCCTATACCTGCAGGGGTATAGTGCCACCGCAGGGGTTGAGGGCACACTCCACCAGGGGTGTTGCCACTTCTTGGGCCCTGTTCCGAGGTGTGTCTGTCCAGGATATATGTGCGGCGGCCAGCTGGTCATCGCCGCATACCTTTGTTCGTTTTTATCGACTGGGTGTCTCTGGCTCCTCTTTGGCTCAGGTAGTCTTGGAACCAAGTGCTTCTGGTACTGTTTGAGGTCACCGTCTGGCGCCTCGGTGGTCCTTTTGCTTCAGGAGCAGTTCTTGCAATACGGGAGTTGTCAATATCTCCCATAGTGAAACACCGAACGAAGTTAGAAAAAGAACTTAAGGTTACTTAACGTAACCCCGGTTCATTGATAACAGAGTGAGGTGTTTCACCTTCATTACCCTCCTTGCAAAGCGGTCAGAAAGCGCTTTTGAATGATTCCAAAAGGAGGAGGTTGACTGTACCAGGGTAGGTGGGCGGTGCTAGGTACTGTCAACCTGTCTGTCAAAAGACAGACGTGGTGCCATTGGAGCTTCCATGGATGGTCACGCCCAAGGCGATTCCCATAGTGAAACACCTCACTCTGTTATCAAAGAACCGGGGTTACGTTAAGTAACCTTAAGTTTCCCTGTCTCAGCTGTGAGGGGCAAAAAACCACTGATGGAGCAGATTCCAGTCTTTCACCGCGCTGCACCTACACTCTGCTTCTCTTCCTTTGTTGACTATAACATAATTGCTATGGCTGTCTTTTAGAAATGCAAATAAAGAAATGTGTTTTCAACAGACAGCCCGTTGGTGCGTTTTATGGCAAGGTGAATCCACTCAAAGTAATTGATTTAGCTGTAAACTGCATCGTGCATGGACAATTAACATTATTATGTGTGAGGGTGAAATAGTCATTATAAACTCAGGCACCAGTTTAACACTTGCTGTAGTAACTAAATGTTGTGAAGTCTGTGAGCTCCTCCATCTCACATTAGACACACACACACTGCAAAAAATGATGAAATATGAGGTAATAAATGCTTGGATTGTGAGGTTTTTATCTAAATTTGAGTACATTCTGACGTCTTAAAACAAGATTTGCCAATGGAAAAAGCCATTGTGTATCAATTCAAGAACTCTTGCTTTACTTTCTCAATCCAAGGGAGACATTTATTATATTTTCTTAATTTTTTTGACATTTTGCTTGTCCCATTGGCAAATCTAGTTTTATGGTTGTCAAAATGTACTCGAATTAAAGTGATTGATGGAGTTTGTCAGAAAGAGAGACAGAGAGGTACTTGATTTGAAAAAAAACGACGCAAGCTCCCTCCCCCTTCCTTTCTGATTGGTCTACACCAGTGTCTCCCAAAGTGGGGTCCGCGGCCCCCTGGTGGGCCGCGAGGGTACTGCAGGGGGGCCGCGGGAGGTCATAAAAAAAATAAAAAAAATAATATTATTATTTAATGTTAAATTTATAATGTTTTGTTTGTAATATTAAAATATTTGTGTTCATTATTTGACTTGAATAATCCACTGTAATCATGTTTGTATTACAATGTTTGTAGCAGAGGCTATTTCCCCAAAATAAAATAACCAGAAGAGCCTATTCTTAATGTTGTCTTCTTGGTTATTATTTTGGGGGGCCACGCAGACCCATCAGATTTTTAAGTGGGCCTCGGTGTTACTGAGTTTGGGAATGGCTGGTCTACACCTATGTTTCCGTAACACTTTGAAATGTTAATCAGAGAACACATTATACATGTACATTATTAATACACATGCACGGAGGTTTTCAGAATTATTTGTGAACGTTTTAAGGAAAAAAATAATGGTTTTATGCACAAAAAAAGCGATCGCGGCAAACCAGGAAGTGCTATTGTCATGAATTGCACATTATAGGACACATCTGCAGAGGATCTGATTATGGATATAGGTTCAGAATATACATAAGTACTTCAGCGCGGATGTTCAGAATTCTCTCTTCAGTTTTCATGTTGTTCCAGAGCCTAATAGAGGCTTGATTCAGCGCCGATGATTGACATCCCTTGGCATGACTCGATTGGTTAACCTCGACGGCACCGTGGATTCTGAACTATAGCTAAGAGCAGGGAAGGCGGGACTTGCCCGTAATATTAGAATTAATAAAATGACTTATTTTATATCAACATTTAAGGCCAGGAGGTCAATTTAGCACATTTCCTAAAATTTGTAATGAATTTAGAGTTACAGACTATCACTTTAAGATACATTTTTACATTACTTTATTATCCATCACTTTTTGCAGTGTAGTGAGGGGATAAAACGGACCTGCTAATCTGCCTGTGTAATTATAAACAGTTTCATAGTTTTAATTATGCGCACATCACTGCACACAAGGCGTATATACACTGGTGTTTTGGACTTATTTACACACCCACAGACTGATAGTAATAGGGGTCTAAACAGCACAAAATGAGCTTTTCTGTGTTACAATGGGGCGTGTAGACAGACAGGCAGTGAGAGGAATGATTATGAACGCGATCAAAGAGCGCTCTGGTGCTGCTAATTGCCCCTGCACTGTTCCCCGGCTCTGTCGCGTTGGAGAGGACTTGGCACACAGCCGTTCAAGTGCACAAGTTTACACACGTGCGCACACTCGCTCACTGTGTAATGCAGAGGGAGCCGAGGGGATGGTCTCTAATGCAGTGTGAAGATGATGACACAAAGGATTGAGATGGAGATGGATTTTTGTCAGTGTATATATGTGGGGTCTTGTTTGGAAAAAATGAGTGGTTGAGTGATGCTATTTGTGAATAAGATAAATGAACGGATTAGATGCAGAAGGGTCTGGGCAGAGATACACACACACACACCCTTATTTGTTTATTTGTGTACGTGTTTCTGGCAGGTCAGGCTAGGTTTCAGAATTGTTTTCATTAGCTCAATACTTTAGAACTCATTGCTTTGGTCGCACAAATGGAACCAATTCATTTATGTCATTTTGTATTTTATTCTATTTTTGCATCTTATCTATACAGTTGTGCCTGAAAGTTTATAAACCCACCCATTGAATCATTTTTGAATCCCCCACTCATGGTCAGTGGTTGTGTGTATTGTCAATTACGGTTTTGTTATTTTGAAATTACTGTTTGCTATGGAATGGAAATTCACATATCAATTACCCTGGATCAGTCGAACAGGACTCTAATTACTGTAGGCTAGTTTATTAACCAAATCACCTTTGGTTTAATTTAAGACTCTTAATAATAATCATACTAATGCATCGGTTTTTTATAGCGCTCTTTTTGACACTCAGACGCTTCACTCCATACATGGTGGTGATAAAGTAACACTGTAGCCACAGCTGCCCTGGGGCACACTGACAGAAGCAAGGCAACTAGTATGTGCCATCGGCCCCTCCTACCACCACCAAACATTCGCACACACGCCAGACTCATTACAGGCAATATGGGTGAAGTGTCTTGCCCAAGGACACAACAACAGCAGACATCAGTGGGAGCCGGTATGGTGGGCTCAAACCCACGACCTTCAGGCTCAAAGGCCAATGTCCTACCAACTGAGCCACTGTCTCTTTTGTACCAATATCACAAAGCTTGTTACTGTATATCATATTTTCCCAAAAGTTTTACTCTTTTACTCTTAACGCTGCAAAACCTGTCCTATTAACTTCAGTGCTGCTGTGTTTTTTTGTGTTAAGTCTGCTGGAACCTTTTGTGGATTACTCAAACATGGTGTAAACAAAATGCGTTAGTGACTGTAGTATTGCTGCTGGGAGCACTGAAGCCAAAACTACCATGATCCCTCTGGCACTTACTGTGAACGCATCAACAAATAGCATTTTAGCTGCTCTCAAAATACTGCCCCGTCATCTCCCCTCCATCAAAACCAGCGGCCGTCACATGTCAGCTGGTACCACTCTGAAATGGGACAGTGACATTGAGATGAGGGCCCCGGTCGTGATATGGGAGGGGCCTGAGGACGAATGAGAGCAGAGAGTTTCCTGTCAGTGCCTTTTCTCTTGGTTTTTCTTGTGACTCTATGACAGCGGTAAACTATGCACACTGAGGTGATGCCTGTCATGGACCACTTCTTTTTTCGCTTTTCCAGCATTTATGTCGTCTTGCTGAGAAGGGAAAGAAGCAAAAATATATGTGCGTTTCATTCTTTATCAGTCAGTTTGAATGATTCTTCAAATACATGGTCAGGCACAGGCATAAGCAATATTATTGTAACACTCGCTTTTCGTTTCAGGCGAGGGAAGTGCTCTTTGTTAAGCAGTTTATACACAAGGCCCCTCAAAAAGCTTAACCTAACAAGATAGAAACAGTTATTAAGAATTAATAACCCATACATAATCATATTTCTTTAAAAGGTGAAGATTACAATCCTTCATTTATATGCACAACTAAACTGATTTGTTTTTAACCTGAATTAGAACATTGTCAGAGAACAATCCTGTCGGCACGGTGGCTGAGTGGATAGCACTCTCGCCTCTCAGCAAGAAGGTCCTGGGTTCAAATCCCGGTTGGACCAGGGCCTTTCTGAGTGGAGTTTGCATGTTCTCCCCGTGTCTGCGTAGGTTTCCTCCGGGTGCTCCGGTTTCCCCTACCACTAAAAATATGTACAATAGGTCTGGCATGTGCCTCCTGTACTGGCACCCCCACTCCCAAAAATAACAAATGTAAACCGCTTTGAGACTCCGATGTGCAGTGAAAAGGCGGTATATAAATAAAGATTACTTACTACTTACTTACTCCTGTCTCTCATGTTCTGAAAGGCTGTTCCAGATTTTTGCTGCATGAATCTGAAATGCTGCCTCCCCATGTTTAGTCCTGACTCTGGGCACCAGCAGTAGGTCCTATGGGGGCCCTCAGTGTTTTATATTTGATGTTGATGTTGAATAATCCCCATTCACAAAGAAAGGGATTTTTGTCTTTCTCCCAACATGAGCCCCTTGCAGTGTTACATCAAATACAAATATGGTTAAAACTGGGGATCTACCTTTTTTCATAAATATTACTTTATATTTATTTCTTGAGAAATCTTTTGCATACTTAGCCCAGTTGTGGCTGATTGAAGGCTGTTCTCTCATGATCATGTTTTTTGTGTAAGCTGTGAGTGACAAAAAATACATGCTAAAAATAGATAAAAATGATAGAACCAAACTGTTTTTAGAGCTAGTAACTGTTAGATTATATTTCAGAATCACTGAACATTGTAAAGCGCTTTGACCTTGGGCTGTAAAATGGGCTATATAAATACTTACTTTTTTTGTTTTTGTGATTAGGAACGGTACCCCTGCTGTAAGGTCTAACAATTGGTTTTCCCCATCATAACACAATATTAATACAATAAAATAAAATAATCTGATTTTAGACTACAGCTGAGGTGAAGTATTTACTGTATATAGTTTTGTTCACAAAGAGGAAAAGAAGTACTATAAATGCAAATAGAAATGACAGAAAAGTGTAGTTTGAGCCGACTCTCGGATCTCACGCTGGCTCTTGTTGCCGTGACAGGCATCACGCAGGAGATGATCAACGAGACGAGGGCCTCGACGGAGCGGAGGATGCTGGGAGATATTCAGGAGCTGATGAGACAGGGAGAGGAGGTCAGCCGGCAGGACGCCCAGGGAGCCACTCTGGTGAGTCTGCCACAACAACACCCTCCCCACCATGGTCTTTAAGCCAGTGTTTTTCAACCAGTGTGCCGGTGTTCTGTCGAGTTGGTCTGCCCGTCGAGATGATCTCCCTCAGCTGTTAATGATGTAATGCAAACCTGCGCTGCGCGTCTCACGGCAGCCGAAGCAAACCAATATGTCGGACATGAAGTCCTCGAATTGCTTTAGAAGTTAAAATACGAACGAGTTAAGACACAAATGTCACTTTTAATGCAATTTGAGGCGAGATGTTGATGGTTCCACGTTGTGATATGTGGGTTTTAAGAGTAAGAGTTTCGTTTAAAGTTTGTTTTAAGCAGTCCACTGCTCCTATGAAACCACACTGCTATTGTTTTGATAGCAGTCCCTGAGTTGACTGCTGCATTTGTCATTTTACTGACGTAGGCCCATGACGCGTCCTGTGACTGGTCTGTCGGGTTGATCATGGAAATAATACATTTAATTTAATGCATGTATCATACTGTATTCAATATGATTAACAATAGTGTGTTCAAACGTAATATTTAATTAGATTGAGTTTTTTCCCCATTCTGTCGGGTTTCTGTGCATGTGCACATCAGATTTGGGCACACTAGCAGTGTAGTTTCACAGGAGCAGTGGACTGCTTAAAACAAACTTTACACGAAACTCTTACTCTTAAAACCCACATAGCACAACACGGAACCATCAACATCTCGCCTCAAATTGCATTAACAGTGACATTTGTGTCTTCATTCGTACGTATTTTAACTTTTAAAGCAGTGAGACGCGCAGCGCAGGTTTGCATTACATCATTAACAGCTGAGGGAGATCATCTCGACGGGCAGACCAACTCGACAGAACACCGGGGAACGTTAGTGTGCCTTGAAATTTTATTCAGTGTGCCTTGGGAAATTATTCAGTATCACCTATTTGGTCAAAAATAATGTGAAAAAAGAAAGAATTAGAAGTTCAGAAATACTTCTTTTAACTTGATTTTCCATATAATACACTTTGATAAGAATTGCTTTTTGTTAATAAAGGCTGCAGGGTGACATCACTTTGTATCAGTTTCAGCTGGTGGTGTGCCATGGGATAGAGTTAAATTAAAAAGGTGTGCCACGGCTCAAAAAGTTTGGGGACCACTGCTCTAAACAGTCCCCAAACAGTCTCTAAACCAATGGTCTCCAACCTGTAGCTTGGGAGCCACCAGTAGCTCGCCATCCCCTTTCAGGTAGCTCCCCAAAAAGGATTTCGGAATTTGACAAATGATCTTACTTTTTGAGTCAATGCAAATCCATCTTAGCTTTACGTTTTCATTATGTTCACTGATATAGGGTTATACAGTAACATGGGACACTTTACACCAATGTTGTCTAGGATTTTCTATCATTATCACACAGAGCTTTTGAAAGATTAGCTCTCTGTCATTCCTGCGTAAAAGTAGCTCTCCAGTCGCTCTAAACAGTGTGCAAGTCTCAGAGAGTGAATATAATCATGCAAGCGAGGTCATCGGGCATCCGCATGTGACAAGTGCTGAAACAGGAAGCATTAGACGGTATGCGTTAGAATAAAACATTTAAGAAGTTAAAAGCATATTTCTCACCATTTTTTAGTTTAGCAGAATTAAAAAAAACATTACTACATTGGAAGCAAAGGTCTCCTGCTTATCTAACTTGAGATAATACTCCAGTTTCCACTATTATTATTTTGTAAATGTTCAAAAACAGAAAATCCTGCAGCAGCGTTTCCTAATTAATCCTATTTTCCCGCTGCAATGAGTCTACAAGCGATTATCACCAGCTAACAATAGTCACGTTAGCTTTGATTTTCCACTTGAATTAAAACGCTTTATAGTACAGTGTTTTTCCAACAACATTCAAATTAAGATAATTTCACGCTGCATCTTCGTGGAGGATTTTGCTCATAATACGGTAAAAAGAAATAAAAACAATTCTGCCTACGTTTCCTACGGGTACTCTGGTTTCTCATATGCCACAAAATAAGTACATAACAATAATGTACTAGCTCTGTGACTAAATCTGTCCAAAATATACCAAATGCCATGTGCTACTACAGCCAATTTAAAAACAATGGCTTGGTATTGTATCTATATATGTAAACTGCACCGAGTTGAAGTTTTAAATGTAAGATTGTTTACCTGTAGAGTAATAAATAAATAAAGAGTAGTCACTGCCAGTAAATGATGTGGATTTCTTTGTCCGTGTTGATCAAAGACACCGCTCTGCTGTCGCCAATCCATAAAACCTCTGCAGAGAATCAACAGTCCTCACGAACACGACGGCAGCTCCACAGAAGGCTTGTCTTGGCACATCGTCTCCAAGTCTAAATGTAATGACGCCATAAAACTGTAATTAATGGTGTATATAGAAACTGATGGGACGTAATAAAAGTTTTACTGTCGACTTAGCACAGAGCAGCTACGAGCAAGCAGAGGATTGCTCAGAACTGTTATTAGAACTATGTATATTCTCAAAACACTGAATAACATTTATTTGGGTTTCCTTCTGTGTTGGAGAGAAATGAGAAATTATGACTGTTACCATGTTTATTAATTATTTAAAACAGGAATACTAATATCTTGCATGAAGCAGAAAAGAATCTGCATATTTACAACATTGTACAACTTTCCTCCATCCAAATACACAATTTATATACAGTATTATTTTTCCGCCAACACATACATTTACATTTCATTGAAGCCAATTTTGTCTACTAAAAGATAAGATTAAGAGAGCCTTTTTTTGTCCCACAGTGGGGAAGTTTCAGTGTTTCAAGTTACAGAACAGGCCACACAAGATAAGTGAATATTAGGTGTAGTACAACTATATACTATACTAAAACATATGCGTTAAAATAAAATCCCTATCTTTCAAATACATCTGTAATAAAGAAACAAAGTATAGAAGTATTTTATAGATATAGATAAATCTGTAGAACACTCTGGTGCGAGAATATAAAAGTAGTGAGTCAAAAGCTCTGTGGGTTCAAACAAAGTGCTGATACTACTGTGAGCAGCATCAGGCCCTGATGTTGGGACATGTGGTCCCATATTGCACATTATTGCACAGATGCATGGTATGTGAGATCAGGTTGGCAGTGTTCACCAGCCTTCACACTTACATTACAGTATGTCCAAAAACAAAAAAGATGCTTTTTATTTATCATAATTGTATTATTTTTTTTAGATACAAAGATCATCTGTCTTCTGTCCATAGCTCAGTGTCTTGAGGACCTTAATCTAGATCAAAACTAACCATATTTTGTTATTATTTGTTCATTTATGAAGCAACGGTCGTTGCTTCCTCCTGAAAATCATGGATTGGGTCTGGACTCTCCAGATATGACCTTTTATTAGACACTTGCGTCCGGTCTTGACAAGGTGACCATTGTTGACCGCAGCAGATCAAACCCGGGCTCCGCGAGCAGCTCTTTGTTATGTATGAGAGATTGTGTGCTGCAGCTGGAGGAAGGAGGCAGGAGGCAGGAGGCAGGCGTGGGACAGGGCCAGAAGATAGTAGCCCAAAATAACCCTGCAAAGCCCCAGGTATAAGCACAGAGTGTCTGATGGAGCTGTGTGTCCTCCTGTTAATCTTCTGTGCACTGTGATGAAGCAAACCTGAGCCCTTCTGATTAAAACCACAATAAGACAAGATGTAGAAAAGCACTTATGTAAGCTTGACGAGGTTTGAAAAAAAAGCAACCAAACTGGCAAAACTATGCAAGAAAATCATGTTATTCCAATATCCACGATATTATTCCCTCGTTGATAACATATCTTAAAGATGTTTTCAGCTCCATCCAAACTAATTAGGAATCCAGTACTCGCCAACATGGACCTGAAACACACATGCAGCGCACACATTTTCACTCACTGACACAAATAAACACACACAAGCACACTATGGCACACACACATTCATATACGCAGATACGCGTGTGCACACACACACACACACACACACACACACACACACCAAATGTTCACCCATATGCATTGATACACACACACATGCATACACACGCACACACAAAATGTACACACGCACACAAGACACCAACACACACATAGGCGCTCGCACACGCACAGACACTATTTGCTCTTTTGGTGTGGATGATTTGAACGAGATAAATTAAATCTACAAAGAGGAAGTGAAAGTGGTGTTTTTACTTGTTTGTCTTCAAATCTGCAGCACTTTGCCTCCTGACATCTTTAAAAAAAAAACTGCTCTTGTGAAAAACGATTGATCAAAAATGAACTTAACTGCCAACATTTCAAAAACGTTTTGTCAGAAGTTTGACAGAAGCGGCTCCCCAGTGGGTGCCAGGTGTGTGCGGAAGATACAACGCAGCCTGAGCATCCAAATGTCAGGGCTTTAACCTTAAAATCCCAAAATGGCAAAAATCCCACGGCACAAAAAACACAGTGCAGGAGAGAAAGAGTGGAGGCTGCCAAATCCAACCAGAAACCTGCAAGTAACCACAGAGGAAAATGTCTATTATTATTCAACATATGTTTTCTAATAGAGAGTAAAAGTAAGTTCTGATTAATGGGAACTATGCTGCTTTCTTGGTGGAAGGTCGCTTTTTGCACCGGGCTTGTTGCTGTTTTGTCTGGAATATTCCATCTACAGTGTGGTATGTGTAATATGTATTGGAGTATTAATTTGGTTAAGTTTAAAGTTTTATTTGCAAAGAGAAGAGACGACTCCATGTAAGAATTCAGGTTTTTAAGCCGTAAACTAAGTGAATAATGTACAAGCTTTATACAATACTGAGATACAGGCACCACACAGCCTGAGTCCTGGTTCCACAGCCTGAGTCCTGGATCTACAGCCCGAGTCCTGGATCTACAGCCCGAGTCCTGGATCTACAGCCCGAGTCCTGGATCTACAGCCCGAGTCCTGGATCTACAGCCCGAGTCCTGGATCTACAGCCCGAATCCTGGTTCTACAGCCCGAGTCCTGGTTCTACAGCCCGAGTCCTGGTTCTACAGCCCGAGTCCTGGTTCTACAGCCCGAGTCCTGGTTCTACAGCCCGAGTCCTGGTTCTACAGCCCGAGTCCTGGTTCTGCAGCCCGAGTCCTGGTTCTACAGCCCGAGTCCTGGATCTACAGCCCGAGTCCTGGTTCTAAAGTCTCAATCCTAAATTTAGCCCGTCTGGCCGTGGTTATAGCCTGTCCCCAAGGTTTCTCAAGAGTTTTTGTTGTTGTAAATTGAGTTGTTCCTTGAAGATGATGAGGGATCTAAGGACAGTGATGATCTTGGACATTTATGCACATGTTAACGTTTCTATTGGTCATCCTGCTCCCTGTGGACCAATGGATCCTATGTCATTGTTATTGCTTTTCCTGTGTTTGCACTGTTTGATTCTCAGATCCGTTGTTGGCAAAGCAACAACCTTGTAAAGTTGTCCAAGACGACTGCTATTGTGATTTAGAGCTATAAAAAAATCAATTGAATTGAATTCCAAGCAAAGCAATAACGCCTTCACAATGAAACGGGTTGGGGACCCCATCAGATTAACGGTGCCTTTAAACGAATGGTATGTGAGCTGCGTTTACTGAAGACCAATATCACTGCTTCTGAGTCTTCTCTTGTGCATATGTAGGCGGCATTGGAAGGATTTCACATATGAAAGTTGTAACTCAAATGCTACTTTCATATTATCTGCTTAAAAACAAACTGAAGACGCAATCCATTGTTTCTGCAAAGTTTGCACCGAGAGCCAAAACTATTTCTTAGTTTTTAACTTCCTGATACTCACAATGGTTATAAACAATTTTTGATTCTGATGTTTTGATTTTCCGGAAATCCTAAATATAGGCATGCTTCTTAAACCATATACTCTACTTACAAAATTATGTATCATTCTAAAAACGGAAAATGTAAAGTAAATTTTGTTTGTACAATCCAAAATCACAACAACAGTTGTTTCAGAGGACTTTACAAAGTTGGAGATTCACCAACAACAGATCAGAGAATCAGACAATTCGGACACAAGAAGATAATAAAAAACACTGTCCATAAATGTTGATAAAAGTCCCAGATCATCACTTTCCTTGTGTGATGATGATTTAAGGGATCTCAAAATCTTGTTTGAACAGAAAAACAAATCAAAAAGACCATTGATTATATTTTTACTTTGTAGCATCTGTGTTCCATGTAACCTTTTTAACTGCAGCAATGTCTGGTGTAATTCTCCCAAACAGTTTGTGACATTTGAACAAATCAAGTTCAGTTTTTGAAACTTTTACCTGACAGAGCTCAAATACATCCCAGAGAAAGTTATAGGTGACCTTTTAGTGCATATCTAGTTTCATTGTTTCGCGACTCGTAAAAAAGTGACAAATGAAAACCAAGAACGGCTCCCAGTGGGTACGTGCCATTTCCACGTTTGTGAAATGCACCTTAATGAAACCATTCTTTGACACAATATTCCCTCTGCTCCTGCTTTGATGTTGACGCAAAGTTCAGCCCCTGATCTCAGAATGCAGCCGCTCGGTTCATTTGAGGTCTATTGATTGGATTTGCATCATTCTCACATTCATGGAGCGCTAAATCACACCGCCTCGAAATGTAGTTTCCACATTCTTTATTTACATGTATACACCTTATGAATGAAATGGAATTGGATTTAGGAGAGAGCTGTTTGACCCAGCTTTTGATGAAGTAGATGGCATACCATTAATATGAAAGAGACCAAATATGATAAGTCGACTTTCCTGAAATTTTCAAGTAGAAAAAAGGTAGCTCTCATTAAGAGAGACTTAAAGATTTGTTCTGCCTTAAAACTGGAATGAATACTACTAACCCTAAAGCTGCTCATTTGTTCCATCAATTCATATGTTTGATTTTCTCACATAAACCCTTTTAATAAAAAAAAAAAGCTCGACAATTACATGTGGTTCACTAAAATCAACTATCAACAACCAAAGGCACCTAATGCACATGACTCAAAGTGTGAACAAAAAGAGAGGAAACATTACAATCTTAAAACATATGAAAGCAAATATCACATACGTTCATTCCAAAAGAAAACATGTTAGAATCTTTCAGTTATTTGACATAGTTCAGATCACATGTAAACTGCAGAGTAGAAGCTTGTTCTCTGAAAAGAGAAATCTCATCCTAATATTGGAAACCTTTCCTTCTTGTAATTACAGTATACGGTCAAATATTCAATGATATGACCTGTTTCTGTCAAACTGCCAGAATAATTATAAGCCACTGTGTTTACTAAAATATTGTTGCATGCTCATACACTTACATCATTCATTTAGAATAATTGAATCTGTAGCTGCTCTCTCACGCAGCTTTTTACACCACAGGACTTGCAGGTGTAGAGCGGCGCGTGGTCAGCACTTTGGTTTTAGTCCCTTACTTAGCACAAAGCAGTTTTAGCCTACAGGATATGTGCCCTTAAAGCTCATTGATCGTCCTTTGCCCCCTCCTCTTTGCCAGCTCCACGTTGCAGCAGCGAATGGCTACGTACAGGCTGCAGAGCTGCTCCTGGAGGGCGGCGCCCGCATGGACCTCAGGGACTCAGACGGGTGGCAGCCTCTCCATGCCGCCGCGTGCTGGGGCCAGGTGAGGCCACCACAGATCAAATGATTTTAATATACCATTATTTGTTATTGCAATTTTAAGCATAATCCCTACATACACACAGACATATGGAACAAAAGCAAAACGGCAAAACTAGTGAGACATAGCGGTGGTTCTTAACATATTCAATACAGCATGGAATAAGCGGATTGATTCTGCGTTATATAGCGATTCAGGTACCTCATATTATTCAAAGGCATTATTATGGTCTGCACATTAACTGAGGAGGGTAGTGCAAAAGCATTTTCCTTTGAACTTGCTGTTGTAGATGTAATATGCAAGAAAACACAAAAGTGAAACATAACTATTGTATAGATTAAGATATAAACTATATATCATAAATTATAGTTTTTTTTGGAGATATGAATGAAAGAAAACGCTAAAACTTTTTGTTTGAGGTTGTTTGAAGCCATTTATTGTCAAATAAACATGTTTTCTATAAAAATTATGACGACAACAGAAACTACTAAAATGATCATAAGTCTCCACCCCCCACTTCCTAATAAGTATTGCCTCTTTAACACCTTTGACAGTTGTGGATGAGGTTCTATATGTTCTTATGGTAAAGCTGCCCATTCGTCTTTGCTAAAAAGCCTCCAGTTCTTGTAATTTCCTGGGCCGCGTTGCATAAAGTGCACATTTGAGACCCCCACAGCAGCGCATTTGTTTATTTGACAAAAAATAGCTTCACAAAAAATAACTTCATTCATAATCTCCAAAATAAAGACCAAACGAGGACATTTATGCCTTTATGTGTTTTCAGTTGCAGCCGTATTGCCAGTAGTCATATTCCAGTGTGTGGAAAATATAGGAAATAATGAGTTTTAAAATCGTTCCCTTCATGTCTATGAACAACAGGCATTTTTTTAACACCCATTTAAACCAAATGTAGGTTTAGTAATAATATGTTGGCCTTTGTAATTTTTTGATCCCATGTCAAGGAAGTATTAAAACGTTTTTTATCAACTTATCTTTGAAAACTAACGAAATAGGCAATAATTTTAGTCAAACCTTAAACAATTTGAACAATGTTTCTGTGAAATGTGTGGTCTCAAAGTTGCATCTGCGGGATGTTTGTGTTTTTGTAGATGCATGTGGCAGAGCTACTGGTCTCACATGGAGCCAGTCTCAACGCCAAGACATTCCTGGAGGAGACGCCCATTGGTAAGAACATAAATAATAACAACAAGAATCAACATGCATCATTCAATTTATTTTTGCATCGCACAAAATCACAAAAAGCAGTCGTCTGTAAGAGGGTCACAGAATTGTCAACAGCCGAATCAAACGATTACAGCACATACTAAATGCAGCAATTGAAAACGTAAAAGTCATTGATCCATCCGATGAAATTTTTTTGTTTTTTCTAGTTGCTGGGGACTAAACTCAGTGCTAGTTTAATGCTGGTTCAACTTATTTTTTCACTCAAAGTTTAGCAGTTTTTGAGGATTCGTCTCGAGAGGTGCAGTGAATGCATCAGGGGATCAAAATATGTTCTTCAAAGACTTAGGATATTCTATTGGACACCAGACAGTGTTAAACATGTACAGTAAACATACTGTATGTCTGCCTCTGTTTCATTCTACATGTATCTTTTTATGATCAAAGTAACTGCATGTAACTTTCTGGTGGTGGTATGTGAGCAGCATGACATGGAAAATTAAAATCTTAGCAGGAAACATTATCTAAGATGTTTAATGTCATTGGATGGCCTTATTTTCAGTGGCTCGCATGAACCCACTCTGCTAAATGAAAAAAGTATCTTTGTTGTTGCAGTGCTGTGCGGCCAAGAATCTATGTTAAATTGTGAAATATAACAATTACAATTTCCCTGTTTAGATTTGTGTGAAGATGAGGAGTTCAGAAATATCTTGTTGGACCTCAAACACAAACATGACATCATCATGAAGTCACAGCTCAAGCACAAGACCTCACTGTGCAGGAGGACGTCCAGCGCAGGCAGCCGCGGGTAAGTGCTGACACCTGCTGGGGGCCAGGGGAACTACAAATCAGAAAATCAGATGAGATAAAACTACATTAACATTTACATTTCACATTTGGCATAAATAGGATCTCTCAGGGTGTGCATAAAGACAGAAAATGTGCAAACATATTAAAAAAGTGAAAAGATATAGAGTAACTTTTGTGCAATAAAGGTATTTTATGTACTTAAAGTTAAGTAAAAGTAAAAAAATAACTATAGAAATGCAAGTTTTCAGATACTGCAGTAATGCATGCATTAAAAACAAGTACAAATATATAATAATTATCATTGTTTAGTATTTGTTCTGGTATTAGTACTTTACTTGACTGCAGCAAATCAGCCTTTTCCTTGAAACTCATATGAGATCCTCACCTGAACTAAAACTAAAAGTATTTGAGAAAAAAGACAGATGTGTGCCCATGTGTGATGAAACTACCGGTGTAAATTAGCACACCTGGTTTGGATGTTTGTTTTGGTTTTTTACTACATCTTTTGTTTGGTATATTTCTACAACGGTGTGAAGATAACTGCTTTAATTGGGTCAAATAAATAAATTGTCAATCAATTATTCAACAAAAGTGTATTTTACTTTGAACTTTCTCACTTCAACAAGCCTTTACTATTACATTTACTGAAGTACCCAAGACTAGTACTTTGCCACCTCTGCTGGTTTGACCATTGGTTTTGCACACACACAGTGGAGTGTTGATAAAGCCTGTGGTGTTGATGTGTGTTCACAGTAAAGTGGTGCGGAGGGCCAGTCTGTCTGACAGACACAACTTGTGCCGCAAAGAGTATGAGACGGAGGCCATAGTGTGGAGAGGAGGCCGAGAGGAGCAGCACGAGCGGGAGAAGGACACCGACCAGGAGAACAGCCAAGTGCTCAATGTAAGTTTGTCTATGTGTGAGTGTGTGTCTGTGTGTGAGTGTGTGTCTATGTATGAGTGTGCGTCTATGTATGAGTGTGCGTCTATGTATAAGTGTGTGTCTGCGTGTGAGAGTGTATATGTGTGAGTGTGTGTCTGTGTGTGAGCGTGTGAGTGTGTGTCTATGTGTGAGTGTGTGTCTGTGTGGAAGCGTGTGAGTGTGTGTCTGTGTTTGAGCGTGTGTCTGTGTGTGAGCATTTGAGTGTGTGAGTGTCTGTGTGTGAGCATGTGAGTGTGTGAGAGTGTGAGCATGTGTGTATTCGAAGCTGAGTTCTGCTACAAAACCGCTTCCTGCTAACTTGTTTTTACCGGCAAACAGAAAAAATACCACAATGGAAAATCTTTTCAGAAGTGTGTGACGCATTCTATTGTTTTTATAACGCAATCTCCGACTTTTCATTTTTGAGAGAGAGAGAGACCGAGAGAGCGGGAGAGGGAGGGAGAGAGAACAGGGTGCAGAGTTTTTATTTAGAAGGCCACATTAACCACAGGTCCATGGGTCAACAATCTGTTTTTGTGTTTAATTAGAAGCTATCACATACAGATATGCATTCAAAAATCATATACAGTATTTTACAACCTTTTATTAATTTGCAATCCAACTCTTTCAAAAAACTAAAACTTCACTCTGTTGCTGTTTAAATTAGAAGGCTCCTCAAAGCTGCAGTATCCAGTTTTTTCATGAATAATACGTTTGTCTTGCCTATCTCTTTCAAAATGGCCATGGAGCAGGAACATTTTAAAATACGCATTCGCGCATGCGTCAGCCAGCACTAGCTCCATTCATTTAACAAGTGCATTCAAAAGTCCACAAAGGCAAAACTAGAGTGGTCCAACTAATACTCTCCTCAGCATTGACACACATCTGGAATGTATTGTTGGGCCAAGAGCCGACTTTTGGACCATTGTGTAAAGCCGTTTTTGAGAGGAACGAAAACTCCATACAAAAGCATTGGGTAATTCTTATTCCGGGTCCACCCCCACCGGCACGGAGTGAGATTGCAAGAATGTCAACGCCCATGCTCATGGACATTTTTTTGAGGACCCCCCCCCCCCCCCCCCCCCCCCCCCTGTGTGCTTTGTCCACACAGTTAGTCTTGTAAATTGGACTACAAACAAGATGTCTGCATCTTATTAGAAAGCATTACATTTTTTGTAAACATTAACTAAATGGAGTTATTAAACCATGTGAGTTATTTGACACTTTGCTTGCTGAGCTCTGATTGGCTGAGTGAGCAAGCTTCTCTCTTGTTCCCTTTTCTGCCTGAAAAAGCTGCTCTAAAATTGTGAGAGCGGCAAAATCATACATTATGGCATTTTGCGAAAACTAGTGATGGAGCCAAACTGATTGAGAGCAAGGAACTAGTTAGATGGGTTAGACACGGTTTGATTCTCTGTGGTTCGAAAGTTTTACGTTCAGCGATCCAAACAGCACAGCAAAACGGTTTCAACAAATTCTACTGCAAGGTGTATACTATAAATACTATATTTCCTGGTCTTTGTTTTTTGCAGGTGAAGCCCGTGATAGAGCTTCCAGACAAATCCAAACTGCCCGCCATCCTCAAAGACAACCGGCAGAACGGGCTCATCTCCACCAACGCCTCCATGCCCTCACAATCCCCACAGTCCCCACAGTCTCCACAGTCCCCCTCCAACGGCACTTCCCCCGGTCCAGACAAGTCCTCCCTGCCGTCCACACCCACTCAGGACGAGACCTGGCCCCGGAACCGGCCGCAGACTCTCTCAGAGCTGAAAAAGCAAAGGGCGGCGGCTAAACTCCTGAACCACCCTTTGTTCAACGGTCACCTCGGCAACGGCTCCACGGACTCCTTCTCCGACGCCAAAAACATTTCAGACGACCCGCGTATGCCGCTGGTCTCGTCCAATGGCAGCGCGGTCTACTACACTCCTGCCAGTGGGGACCCGCCCCTTCTGAAACTGAAACAGCCGCTGGAAGAAGACGCGCCAAAGCCCAGAACCTGCTGCTGTGTGTCGTAGCACTCTGATGTCACTTACAAGTATTTGGAGTTAAATAAGACGAGAGTATGTTTACAAAGCACTAGTAAAAACCAGATCACCATAACCGCCTAGTCTAATTTTGATTGAATAGGATGCGTGTGAAGGCGTGCGCTATGATTGAGGTGTGAAATTGTTTTGGAGTGGCTGGATCGAACCGTTTCTACTGCGCATTCTCTGGCATGTAACCGGATCCTATTGAGACACGGCCAGAAGATGCATTTAAGAGCACAGGGAAAAGCCATGTATATATTAGAAATGTATGTATTTGGACACATACAGACCATCCATCCATCCATTTTTTTCTTCTGTTGATCCCTTTGTACACACACTTCCTCAAGCTCATTCAGGGGGAATCTAGAGCCGTTCCCAAGTTATCTGAGAAACGTAGTCCATCCAGCAAGTTCTGGGTCTTCCAGAGGGTCTCTCCCCAAGTCCCTCGCTTATAGACGACTCTATGTTCTGTTTGCGACAAATACAGTGTCTGTCGCCGCACGCATTTAATTATGATGTTTGGTTTTGTCACAGAAGGCCAAGGCTGAAAACCTGGGGGGGGAGGGGTGTATTTGCGCTGCGGATATTGAATGGCGTATGATTACATTCGCCAACAGTGTGCTTATACAGTATGTGTGATAGCAATTTTATTTCACTGTGACAAAGTTTGAGTGCTGAGGCAAAAAACTCCTAGAAGGCTTTGACATTTTTACAACAGGGCCAAAGTGGATTAAGCGGTTTGTAAAAAAAAAAAAAAAGATAATTAAAAAGCTGAATACACTGCAAAAAGTGATGAAAACTATGTAAACAATTGCTCAAATTTGGAAAAAAGTATTTTAATTTGAGCACATTCGGGAATGCCTTCAAACAAGATTTGCCAATGAGAAAGGCAAAATAATCTTGTTTAAAAAAAGAATGTCTCCCTTGAAATTGCAAATCTTGTTTTAAGACAGTCAGAATGTTCTCAAATTAAGACAAAATCCACTCAATTCAAGCAGTGGAATTTGTCATATTTTATCATTTTTTGCAGTGTAGAGTCAGATTTTTAAAAGTACTCTATATAGTGATGCTTTGTAAACATACTCTGTGCTCCTCCCTCACACTCCCTCCACTGCACAGGAGTTCTACAGGCGCTACTGAAAATGGGAACATGCCATATGAACAAATGACACGTGTTACAATGACTAACTTCTAAATAGAGAAATACCAAGAGGAAGAGGAATGCCTTTTTGGCCCTGAACAGTGAGTTTTCCTAAACAATAAGTGCTCAAATAAAGTCGAGGTTGTGCATGTGTACTGTAGGTGATGCTGGAGCAGTCGCTACACCCCTGATCTCAGTACATTCAGGTGAGCACAACAGTCACAAGCCTTTTACACCAAACTCTCCCTTTGTTCAAATTTACATGTCAGAGCGGAAAAAAACGATGTTAAGGCTTTGAACAGCCACCATTTATGCTTTTTTATCATTTCAAGTTTTACATTACCCACCAGTTGTCATTATATCATCATAGAATCTGTCTGTTTTGAACTCATGGGAAGCAGATGTGGTCACACAACAAAGTATTTGATTATAAGTAGAGGATTATTTTAAAATGTCTTCAAGTAATTCTTGATTTATCAGCAAAACATCTCAGACCTTGAGGCGCCAGAATCTCTTCAGAAATGTGACAGACAAGTGAAGCCCTGAAACCTTAGATGAGCTAGAATAATAATAAAATAAACAGAATTAAACCAGTGAATGAAATAATTGTATAGGAAAAATGGAAACCTTTTGTGGTCTGTAAAAAGTTAGTTGTCAACATTTTTAATAATCAATTAATTGTTTTGTTTTTTTAACCTCATAGACTTAAACCTGCTGAGAAGAGGTTTTATGACTCTGATAATGATATAATGACTGCAGAACAAAATGATGTATTTATAATCAAACAACCCACTGTGTAACAAGTCCTCTCTATGAAGATATTCTCCAGGGGCATCACTTGAGCTTTATTTTGGTCAAATGCATATAACAAACCCCATAAAAGAAAGTATTAACCTTTTTAGAATCCAAATAGCTAATCAACAAATAGAAAGAAATATGGCCAGTTCCCTGTATAGAGTCATTTCCACTACTTTGGCGCCTAAAGGGCTACTTATTGTTTTTATCCCAATACAATATATTTATAATAAATTGTTTTCATGTTATTTACTTTACGTACAGCCGCTGGTGGAGTGAAAAAGCATAAAAGTTGACCAAGCCTGTTAATGATACTATGTAACGCAGAAAGCTAAGGCATGCCATACCCCAGTATTACAAACCGTATCTCAGTGTTTCGCCTCGCCATTCCCTGATCGATCCCTGACCACCCCCTTTGCAGGAATCGTTGACCGCTGTACATTTTAATTTATATACTTTCATGTAATGTGTAAAAAGCATAGAGGTAAATCTGAGTGTATTTATTATTTGAATGGCACGTGTAGCGAGTGAATGGTTTTGAGATGAGCTGGTGACTTAAACCAGCGGAGCACCTTCTGATATGAAAATCAACTGATGGAGCTGAAGTGAAATGTCTTCTTACTGTACTAAATGTGTACATGCTATTGAAAACAGTCTCATCATTGTGTACCACTACAAATAACAGCGTGATGTTGTGTCTTTTTTGTGGCCAATCTGGCTGTAATTCACTGTCATGGTGAGAGTTCTGCATCACTGTAAAGTTACCCACACGTGAGCCCAGTACAGACTTGTTTCTTGTTTATAGTTTTTACAAGGCAACAACCCAGAATTAACAAATATAAAGTGGACTCCTGTATATTTTGTTGTTAAGTACCAAAGAGTCTATGAAACTAGGAGCATTATAAAACTTATTTTGGCATATATGTGTACAAAGTTGAATTGTGAATGTCGCCCTCTTGATCAGTGTTGCTTCTACATATTATCTGTGAATACATTATTATATCACGCCCTTTGCTATTTGATATAGATTTGCGTTTCTCAAAATGCTGTTTGAACCATTTGGAATACTGATTGGTTTTAAACACATGGTTCTATTATTATTACAAATGCAGCCAGTTAAAAGTCCATTGTTTAAGAGGTGGGTATGAACCATAGACTGTATATAGGCATGGCAAGTTTATTAGTATAGCACAATTCATACAGAAGGCAACTCAAAGTGCTGAACAAAACATAAATAATGGCATAGATGGACAATGCTAACACTTTCGCTCAATGAAGCCCAATAGGGAAGCGCTCATGGACAAAGTTTTGTCTCTGGCTCCTATTGACATACATTGAAAAGTAAACTCCTCCAGCTCAGTAATGTTTGTGTTTAGCGCCCTCTATGATTCAGGTGTTTTCCCTTTGATATAGTTTTTGTAAATCCAGATATGAGCCATACGGATTGACCAAACAGATGCTGTCTTTGGCAGGGGTAACCTTAGCAACCATGTTAGCAACGCGATAGTTTGCATCTTCCCCGGCTACCCCATCGGAACAAAAGCCCATAGAAGGAAATTGGTTCCAGCTAGCTTATGTTCAAACCGGTTTCTGCAAACAATTCAGTTCAATTTATTTTTGTATAGCTCTAAATCACCACAGGAGTCATCTTGGAGGACTTTAAAAACTTGTTGATTCATCAACAACAAACCAGAGAATCAAACACTATGGGGGTGACGTCAACACTCAGTCAGTCCACTCCTAATATACAGTCTATGGCATAAATGGGGGGGGGGGGGCAAATTTACAATAATTAAATACATGAATTAACAGATAAATGTAGAGCCATTGTCTTGAAGTCACAGATTTGACTTTTAACTCCAGCCGCCATGCACTCAAACTGTAAAATGTTGTTCCAATGTTGTGATGCGTGTGAAGACCGGGACGACCATTGTAAACGCAGTGACCTGTGATGAGGCGTGTGTCTCAGAATCTGTCTGTAAACATAATATTATACAGAAGGAAAACTACTGACATTTTGTAATGACTGGAACATGTTCATGGTTGCGGTAACATATTTGGAATAAATTGTATATTTTGAGAATTTTAACTGTTGCTTCTGTCTAATTCTTCTTCTTTGATATAACAAGAATGAAAACATCAAAGTGAACTTGAAACACATTTCCTAAATCTATTGAATCTGTTCAAATCCACTGTTTATGTGAAAAACAGCTCAGCGCTGAACATACTGGTACGGAGAAGATCTGGGAGAAAATTTTAGAAATAAGCACAACCTTATACTTGAAAGATCTATCAAAAAAGATATTGTACATTTTGTTGGCCAATGCCTATATGTATAATGTTTTATAAATATTTTTAAATTCTAATTTTATTATTTTTTTCCTCTACTTTTTCCTGATTTTCTTTCCGAGGTCATGTCAAAAATAGGTGGAAGACAGTTCATAGTAAGATATTTCATGGAGTCGGTAGTTCAATCATACTTCACCTGGCTGGCCACCTCACAATTGTGAATAATGCATATGAGTTAAGAACTAACCTAAGAAACTAAAACTTTAGAACTAACATTAAATTCCATGGACATTCTATGGTAAGTTCTAAGAAACTGTTTGTAAGGTTAATGTATCCAAAAGATTATACTGGTATTATAGATGGGACCTGCACATACCCAATTCCATTTATTTCTGTATAGCTCCACAGCAGTCGTCCTGGAGGAGTTTACAACATTGTCGATTCCTCAACAGATCAGAGAATGAAACTGTTTGAATACAGGAAATGCAATAATAACAAACACATACGAACCATTGGCCCATAGGGAACTGCATGACAAATGTGCATGAATGTTAATAAATGTCCTTTAATGTCAATGTCAAGGGTGTCTTGTCACAGCATCTCACATACACCAGCAGATTTAACACATACTGATGAAAAAAATGTGCCTTAAATAAATAAATATGTGTCTAACTATAGCAGTTGCCATGTAGTTCTGCTCATGTCAATAAAGTTTTGTCTGGAATAATAAAAAAGCAGGATATGAGATCACACTCTCACCACAAATGTGGACTCAGCCCAGTCACCACCACTTCCACATTTGCACTTTTTCAAAGAGAAAAGGATCAGAGAAGAGTTAATATCATTTCAGTATTTTTCTTTATTTTCTTTTTTATTGTGATCACTCTGAAGCGTTGCGTTTACGATTGTTGGGCGGTTGTCCCACATCAGGCTGAACCTTATCATGTTAAAGCAGATAACTGTCAGAAAAAAGGCAGTTTGAGTTCTGAAGAAGTTGAGCAACACATATGACAAGGAAAAAGGATACACACGAGAGATTAAAATATTATTAATATTAATGTTAACCCTTTCGGCGCCAGTACTACAGGTGAAGCTCTGAAATAGTCAATTAGAAAATAAATTAGAGAGGAAGCCAGGGCGCTGTATAGTGTTCTGGGTTCAGATGCTCATGTTGCAATGTTTTGACTTTGGTGCCTAAAATCAACATTTTAAAAAAATACATTTTCATTTGGATTGGATTTATTTTGATTAATGACAGATACTACATTCACTGACTGTATTACAACCAAATAAAAGCAATTTGCTTATGTAAGACTGTCCTGACACCTCATGAATACATATTACATACTGATTTTCAACTCATAATACATATTTGCTTCAAGTTTATTTATTTTTTGTGTGCATATTTTCCACTATTATCATAGGCATAAAACTTACCAGGAATATCAAGCTACCTTTATGGACCAACAGATTAAGATTTAGAGATTCTTCAATCATTCAGTGATGCATCACCGGTTACAGAACAGTATCACATCAATCAATTAATCTGTATTCACTTTTCCTACACAGGACAACACAAAGCACTTCACAATCCACATCACACAAAGCACAAATCATCACAAAAAACAAACAGCAAAATCACTATTAAAAACACTATTAAAATCATACAAGTACTTAAAACCATTAAAACATTAAAATCACACAAGGGATTAAAATTATAAATAACAATGCATTAAAATGAGATAAAATCCTTCAGTTGGAACACACAACACAATCATAACTCTATGCTTAAGAGTTATTGCTCAATTATCTTTATTATTATTATGATTATTATTATTATTGTTATAAATATTATTACTAATAAAAACCTGACGTTGCTCCATGATTAGCATACACCTTTAACAGCCCCTCCCTCTCGGTGTGTCAAGTGCGGTTGCGCGGTGCTCGGCGGTCAGAGCAGGCAGCATGTGTACAGCCTTCTCCGCGGACAAACACCGCCTTTAAAGACACGTTTCCCGGATTCACAGCCGAGCCTTTGTAGTCTGGAGGGAAGATGTTGTGTCGTTTGTCTCAGGCTCTCATCTCGTCTCCATTTGAAGTCCCTGCAGAGAAACTGAGGAACGTGACTTTGACATTACACAAGGTGCACACGGCCAGGGCTTTGTGTCGGTCTGTCTGCGGCGGAACTCACGGAACTCACGGGGACCACTGGAGATCACCGGGAACCCAGCCGTGTCCGAGCCTAGATCCGTGTTCCCTGGGCTCTCTCTGGCAGCACCGGGGCAGAGGGGCTACGCTAGCGGCGACGTGTGTGTTCCCCACGCCGCTCTCCTGCTCACGTCACGGGCGTCACGTTACGAAGGACCGGCTGGTTGTGGCTCATGCGTGTCTCCCTGCTCTTTTACTGGGACACAGCTCCAGAATCATGCAGACCAGAGCCGCTTCCACCGCAACGAAACGACGCGAGATCTCCGAGCAGCACAGTGACACCGACAAAGGGGTAAATTCTGTGTGTACATGTTGTTATTATAGATCCATGGGGAAATGCACTAGTCCTGTGTTTATTGTGTTTACATATGCTCATAGAGCTCGCCCATGCCCACACTCGCACTGTTTACTCGTCCCCACAGTGAGGTCAAAGGGCATTCCTCCACCGTGTGCCCATCAAGTGGTCGTGTGCAACTGGTGCGACACTATCATGGATTTATTATTATGTCAAAAGTCATGCAACGTGGATGAGACGTTCAAGGACTGCAGGCACTGACTCGCTGCAGTAGCATATGGCATTTAATACATACTAATAATGATGAATAACATAGGCATAAAACTTAACAGGGATATGAAATACAATTTACCTTTGTGGAGCTGTTGAAATAATAAGATTGACTCATTCATCAGCATGAAGATTAAGAGATCCTTTATTCGTCTCACAATGGCGACATTTCAGTGTTGCATCACCAGCTACAGAACCGTAGGAATGAGTAAACAACATAAGGTAAATGAACACTGCTCATTACTAAACTCTACACTCAATAACTATTTACTAAACTCTCTACTAAATAAGATGACATAAAATAAAATCACAGACTTTAGCATAATAGTATAAATCCTGATGATAGTAATAATAATACATCTTTAGTTGTACTTTAAAAAAACAATGTTTACAAATCGCTGCCAGTCAGCATAAAACGATGAGAATAAAAATCTATAAAAATGGTCATTATAGTATGAAATATCATAAAGAGCAAGTACAGGAGAGTGAAACGAACTGAGAGCACACGACAAAGACAAAACAAGCACGACGTGGAAGAGTAAAATACAACATGTGAAGTTTACTGACAGGATATGGAAGGCCGTTTTTAATATGATGGTGCTGATGGTGCTAGCCTTATCTTGATAGTCACTGACACCTGAATTCTTGGAAATGTTTATGGGAGTTTCTAAAATCCCATAAGCACTTTGTGGCACAATGTCTGTCGGAGAGTCGGAGAGACCAGTGTCGGAGAGACCAGTGTCGGAGAGACCAGTGTCGGAGAGACCAGTGTCGGAGAGACCAGTGTCGGAGAGACCAGTGTCGGAGAGACCAGTGTCGGAGAGACCAGTGTCGGAGAGACCAGTGTCGGAGAGACCAGTGTCGGAGAGACCAGTGTCGGAGAGACCAGTGTCGGAGAGACCAGTCCCAGCTTAATACACTCTGATGACGACCACAGGGTGAACCACTGCTATGAGACCAGATCAATGTGATACAAATTGTTAATTTGCAAAAACAGAAAAGTTCCTTTAGGTGAGATATTAATATAATTTTCCCCCTAGACCAAGACGTTTTTTGAACAGCCAGATATATTTTTAGTGCCATTCAAAGTTTCACCTAAAATTCTTTCAAGTTTACTGCCAACAACAAAACATGTTGAAGATTATAGCTTGAGTCTCCTTCTTACTGGGGCCATGTTATCTCGTATTCATTTACACTTATCTAGGATCTTGACACTGCTTCAACCGTTCTTTCAAACAAGAAAAACTGCATTGTGACAGACCTGGAGGGAATTTAGGTTATTACCTGAGTTGGAGAACATAATGCAGAATTTTAATGTGTCAATCAAACAAATGTATAATCATGCTCTTTTCATTTGTAAAAACTGTGTGTATCACCCCCTGTTCGGAAGTGTGCTTTTTCTCATTTCTACCCTGAAAAAACATCACTCTAATCATTAATCTAATCTAACAGACTTTCCTCTCTGATATGGAGCTGCTATGAGTTTGAATTTTAACATACCATATATTCTTCTGCAGTTCTGGCTTGTATTGGCTACAATTGACATTTCAAGACACTGAGCGAAGACCTCCTCTTCTCTGACACAGCCAAAATAAAGTTCCCAGGCTCTCACAGCTCAACCCCACACAGTCCACAGCTCCGCCCATGTGTCCTTATGTTGTCGTGCCTCTCATGTGTCCTCTCATGTGACTTTGTCTGACCGCGTGTTTTCATTGCAGTGAGAAGCTGTTCTCGGTCACAGCAGAGCCACTGTTCCACTGACCACTGCTTACACTTCAGCTCTAACGTGCCCGCCCCAGAGCAGCTGTGGCGCCGCCTTCGCCCACTCACTCACACACTATTGTCCTTTGTTGTCAAATCAGTAGGGACGCCCCAACTTTTCAAATTTCTTCAATTTCTTTTCAATATTTCACAATTTCTCAACGACGATGAATATGCACCCAAACCCAGTCCCTTTATCCTATTGAAGCTTTGAGACTCTTTCAAAGGCACATTGCACACTTTGGAACAGTAATTGTAAATACTTTTGAGAATTAAAGTAATTTGATTTCCGCAGCGCAACTAAACTTTCCATGCTTCCTGCTGCGACGGATCAATGCAAGGATCCACATGAGCGAGTTGCCTGTGTGGGTCCAAATACACTCTGATATACGTCCCTGTGCTCTTGATGCATCTGCTGGCTGTGTTTCAGTAGTATTCAATATGCCAGTGTAAAGGTAATACCAAGAGTCCTGGTTCTATGCCCTGGGGAGGTGTTCCAGGCACGTCCCACTGGAAGGAGGCCCCGGGGAAGACCCAGGACACGCTGGAGGGACTATGTCTCTCAGCTGGCCTGGGAACGCCGTGGGGTCTGGATGGAGTGTGTGGATAGGGAAGTCTGCCTAGACTGCTTCCCCTGTGACCTGGCAGCGGATGAAGTGGAGAAAATGGAATGGAATGGAATGATATTACCAAATAATTAACAGTTCAGGATCAATGTTGTAGCCAATCAGGGTTCATTGGGTTAAAGTTCAGAGTCCAGGATCTATTCCGACATTGATCCTGGACTCATCAAAATAAATTGTATCAGGTGAGGTGAGTACAAGCATCGGTGCGAACTGCAAGGACAGTAAATAAGTCTGGATCAAATCTCATGCTACAAGATCTTACAAGGTGAAATTCCCTCAAGACAGAATGTGACCACACAAGTACGATTTGTACGATTTATCTCAGCTTTTAGTACAATTTCAAATTAATTTTCTTCTCATTCCTGTGGAACACATTTAATGTCTTCTCATGTGAATTCTGTCTCGTCACATACCTCGGTACAAACCTCCATCCTCAGTCTGTTAAGGGGAACTTTTGACCATGCATTTAGTATGGTTTCTTTATTTCACATTGATTGATTAAATTGGAGAATACGGTTATAATTCCTGGTTATAGGGAGATGTGCATCCAGTGTGTGTTATTATGAACTCATAAATGTTAACATGATGCCAAAGTTGTAGTTCAGAGGATGGAAGAGATTAGTACTTGGATCTGGCACAGAGGAGGTTGAGAATAGAGGAACCAAAACCTTTATTGGGTCTGTGGGTCTGTCTCTCCAAAGTTTCACTGATGACATAAATGAGGACATAAATACAAAATGCAAAAGACAATTCGGTGTTTGTTGAGAATGACTTTGTATTACTATTTTATTGTCAATCCTTTTAAGGCTATAACATAGTCAAAGTGAATATCCACACCTCGCTCCTGACTGCTTTGTGCAGTTGGTTTACACAGCAGTGTTCTGTGGAGCTGCTTCAGACGTGAGGCCTCTGTCCTTTTGTGAGTCGGGCTGTAATGCAGTTACAGTGGTGTTAAACCACTACTGTACAGAGTGGAGCTGCTGTGACGGCTTCATTGTGAGTTCATCTGGCTCACTGCTGTCAGCCCAAAGGTCAGACATGTGCTCTGAAGAAAGGAGCATTGTGCTTAGCAGACTAGCACTTCCACACCCCTTTATATACGTGATGCTTTGTCCCTTTGCAACTGGTTAAAATCCCATTCTTTTAATGTAATTAAAATGGGTTTGCTACATTTTCTCCATGCGCTTTGGTTCTTCATTTCAAATTTTCCCACCCATGAAATGTTGTAGATTTTCTTTTACATTTACGTTAGCAAGTGGTCCCACCTGGTCATGTCAGGTCTGTGGAGATGGCAACTGTGGCAACTGTAAAAAAGAGTCAACTATTTCACAGAGAAACAACTGCAGCTGGCTGTAGACTGATCTTGACTGATGTCATTGTCACCTTTATATCAACATGATGTTCTTTCAGGAATCATTCAAACATATGAACTCATCTGAACACCACCTCATGGTTTTATACATGTCTTATACAGGACTTTGAAGATAGTCTTTGTCTGGTTTTAGCCTTTTGTGAATCTACAAATCTGTAATGCTTGTTCTCATGTCCAGGAGGAACAGACTCAGAGAGGCGACCCCTCACCTCTTGAGAAGGATTCTGGGAAACCTGAGGCCCCTCCAGAGGAAGAGAAACCCAACAAGACACAACAGTTAAAGAAAGTATTCAAAGAATATGGAGCTGTGGGCGTGTCCTTTCACATCAGCATCTCCCTCATGTCTCTGGGCATGTTCTACCTCCTTGTGTCCAGGTACAACACAATGCACACAATCAGCTCTAGCACTTTAAAGGGGCATAAAATGCATCATTTTCACACTTTTTATAAAGCTGTCTTATATTCTGTTGCTCCTCCTCTGACCACAGCCTTGCAGACATTTTTGAACCATGTGGACATTCATTTGTTTTAGCTCTATATGAATAGTTTTTATCAAGTGCCATAAGAGAAATTTGTATAAGATTAAAGACTTAATGATTAGAATACAACAATATGGAAGCCCGTTTCCGCCATGTAAAAAAAAAAAAAAGCCAACAGAAAGTCAAAATTACGACTTTAAAAGTCAAAATTACATAATTAAAATTATGTGTTGTTCATGTTGTTGTCATCCAGAGACCGTTCCAGACATCCATCCATGGATGGATGGATGGATGTCTGGAACGGTCTCTGGTCATCCCTGTTATAGATCCATGACCATTGGTCATCCTCTACCTGCAGATTATGTGAAGATTTTTCCTACAGACAGTGACCACATCCATGAAGTAGCCAGCAATAATGTTGTGGTAGTAATCGCGTTAAAATGCAAACGGTCTCTCCGTTTAGAATCCGCTTCAGGAGCCTCTATTTAATTTATCCTAAACGGACTGTGGAAGATTAATAATAAAACACATGCGGCTGTTCAAAGTCATTGAGCATCAACTGGTGACGTCTGGTCAGTATCACGGCTATCGATGGATGCACCAGAAATGCAGTGACAATGGTATAGTGACTGACAGAGAGACTGTTCGCGATTACTGGACAGTGAGAGAGGTCCGCAGACAGAGGCAGGAGAACCACAGACAGAGGCAGGAGAACCACAGACAGAGGCAGGAGAACCACAGTCACGGGCACTGACAATGTTACCCTTTTGGAATTGCGATCAGTGCATTGAAGAGTATGTGACGTGTTTGCGTGCACGCGGGGGTGAGCTGATGGAGCGAGCGTGCGGTAAAGTTTTTGGTGTATGAGCAAGAACACAGAGACATAAAAGGAATAAGTACCTTGTCTGATTATTTTATTGTGACAAAATAAAGCCCACGACTCTTTTAGCAACAATCCGGAGAAATAACTCCGCAGATAACAGTGAGGGTCTTTGAAAAGGGAGTTAAACCCATTATAGATGCATGAATAAAACCCCGTACTCAACACGTAGAAAGCGTATCCTTTCAGCCGTGGAAATACACGCTCCGTGTGGACCCCTCTCAGCGTCATCGTCTGGTCAGAGTGGTCTACAGCAGATTGGATTGGAATGACTCGATGGCTCATTTTCCTTTGATTTATTATAAAAACGTATTGCTCACATTATTTGTTACTATGTCGAAATAAGAAGTCGTTTGATTTAAATGTTGTATAAATGTAAATTGAATTTAACATAAATAAACAAAAAGACAGCTCCCCCCTGCGTCCTACGACCGCGGTCTGGGGCTTAAACAGCAAAGTTTTACAGAATCACTAAAACAACATTATTTCTGGCTACTTCATGGATGCAGTGGTCACTGATGGCAATATCTTCACATAATCTGCAGGTGAAGGATGTCCAGAGACCGTTCCAGACAACAACACGTACGAGTTTTCTACTGCACATGCGCAGTTGAAAACTCGTAATTTTGACTTTTAAAGTCGACATTTTGACTTTCTGTATGCTTTTTTTTTTTACATGGCGGAAACGGGCTTCCATACAACAGAGATATCTGTTTAAAAAAAAGAAATATTCATATTTAGATTTCAAATGTACCGGTATTAAATATATAATCATGAGCCACAGCGGTCTCCTCTGTGACATAGCTGTTCTCTTGAACATCCTCTGAGCATCAAATTGTTTTCAAATAATTTACTGTTTATTGGATAAACATTACACTAAACATCCTTCACTGGCTTGTTTGTTTATATAAAATTGAGCTGTCAACATCACACTTTTGTCCTCAGCTAATGACATGAGAAAGTCACAGCCGTGTTAGAACGAATGAATACATGTTATTTAATTAATATAAGGCCGTGCTGCTTTTCATGCCTGACCTAAACTACAGTAATGTAAAGACTATTATTAGTATAATAATAATAGTCATAATGTCCTCGATTATTACACCACTTGGCGCTGCATGGATCATTATGAACGTTTTGGCTCCTCATTACATGAAGATGCCAGTGCCACATTTGCATTCACACTGGCCATACTCTGAATAGAACTGACTGTGAAAAACCATAAGCACGTAATCGGCTCTGGCAGCACACGCGGTTTCAGCCCGTGGGCCTCGTGCCAGACCATTCTGAACCAGGGACTTGGCAGCGACCATCACACAGCTTTCCCTCATAGCAGATAATGACCGCGGAACTGAAGCCCAACGCCGCAGCCTCCAACTTAAGCATTATCACCGGAACGCCACCGAGCGCCTCTGTGCTCCCAACATTATCCTCAGACTGACTGCTGTTTGCATTCTGCTGAGTCTGCGTGTTGCCAGGAGAGCTGATTATGGCGTTATTGATCATTAGTGCATCTCACATCAGCAGACTGTTTCAATAGAGGTTTAATCGCCTGGATATCTTTGTACTTTGATACTATATTATGTTTGCTTATGTTTTGGATGCTGATCATGTTTGATAGTTTTCAGATGGTTCTGTATAAAATTACATCAGAGTTATTATTGGCGCCTGTGCAATAGGTAATATGGGAAAAAATGGGATCCATAAATCTATTGTGATCCAGAAATTATTCCTTAGATTAGTTGTTTTCATCTGATTTTGACGCAGATAAAGTTAAGACATTGCAGTAAATAATATTTCTAGACCTTTGTTATTGTTAAAATGAGACATGTATCCATTTATTGGATTATTTAGTAATTGTTGTTTGAGTCTTAAAATCCTTCCTCGCAACTCTTACATGTGTTTGAGTAACTTGATGGCCAAATGTTGCTTCATGATCATTAGAGGCTTTACTCCACTGTCTTCACCTGGTGGTCAAAGATAATAATGCAGGGTTTCAAAAGTGTTATCTTTAGTAAAAACTCCCTTAAGGTGGATTACAGACTCACAGACTCTGCCATAGAACTCTTTTGATGTTTACCTTACCTGAAAATAAATACGAATGGAAGGGGCTGAGGTAAAGCTGGATACATTTAATTGAGGTTTTATCAAAGTGAGTTTTTTTTAAATGTATTTCATATGGAAGATTGGCTATAAATAAAAAACGCAATTAATTAAGTACAAGACTGTTTCACACCAGACAGAGTTGGGAATCCCCAAAGAAACTCGTCAAAACTCAGTGAAACAACCTCTCCTTTTTGAACCACTGGCTTCGAACGCCACCACACACGTCATAAACGCACGGATTCAACAAAAACGACCCCCAATTACTCTCTTGCATGCACTTCAAAGCGTCTGCATGGTCGGCACAACACTAGTAAATAGAGCAGTTAACATGTAATTGGTTTCTGCACTAAGCTAGTTCAAAATACACATATAACTTTTTTTTTTTTTCTATTGTGAGAAAATCTTAAAGGCACACCGCGGACTTTGTGACCTAAAGAGTTGACACATATGAGTTATTTTATATGAATACTTGGGCCAATATACAGCGCTTGACACTTGCAATGCTCCGAGCGGGGCTGCCCTCTTGAAATACCGCCCATGTAACTTTCGAGCAGACGGACCGTCTGCCACCAGGTCACGTGACTTGGAAGAAACACTTGCTTTACGGCTACAGGCGCTGATATACTCATGGAGCTAAGGCTTTTGCTACTCATTTTTCACCTGCTCGACTCCTGGTCATGGCTGAGGCAAGGAAAAATTTTAAACCTTCGGAGGAGGCTAAAAAGAGGAAACGCGAAAGGGATCGTGCTGTAAGCTGCATGTCTGTATGAGCGCTGCTGTTCACCTGGTTCCTGGATGTCATCGACTGCAAAGATGTCATTCCACGCAGCACGAGCTAGACGCAGAACTCCCTCATCCAGGATATAGAAGTCCATGTGTGGTAGATTACTAATGCAGCGGTCTTGAGGCTGACCACAGCAGAGTCTCTCAATATCTGTAGGCATGTCTCTACAGTTTGAACACACACACCAGTGCATGCTGTCTGAATACACACTCAAAAGACACCGGCTGACTGTTTGTTGACTTTTGCGACAGTGCTGAGTTGCTTGTGGCCACTAGGGGCGCTAAACGTGAAAGTTGCAGGTCTAGCGCCCCTAGTGGCCAAGAGTTACACGGTGTGCCTTTAATTAAATCATCTATTAGTTTAATTCAGAAATCGTGAGACTTTTAACTCGAGCCTAACTCTGTGTGACAACTCTTATTGAATGTTGTGTGTACTGTGATGTGCTGGATGTGTGTGTAACAATAATAAACTCATATGAGCTGTTTTTATTCTAGATTCAATGGTGTGTGTGCGTAATGAAAGGACAGCGCTGTATATGGGAATGTTGTCTCCCTCTTGTGGACAGACACGCACATTACATTTCTGACTTGAATCTCTGTGTCCTGTCCACAGTGGGATCGACATGGGCGCTCTTCTCTGCAAACTCGGTTTCAGTGAGACTGTTGTCAAGTCCAAGATGGCCGCCGGGACCAGCACCTTTGTTTTGGCCTACGCTGTTCACAAGCTGTTCGCTCCGGTCCGAATGAGCATCACGCTGGTGTCGGTGCCGCTGATCGTCCGCCATTTTAGAAAGATTGGACTGTTCAAGACGCCTCCGACAGCACCTTAGGAACACTGACGTTTTAATGACATGGAAAGCACATTCATAGTTCTAAGCTCTTAATTTTTATTATTATTAATCTCTTCTTTTCTTCAATCTAACACAAACCTCTTCTGAGAGACGAACCATAACTGTTGCTTTCTTGGACCATCTACATTTCAAAATCGCAAACTCCTGCAGACCAATAACATCCAACCCTTTTATTATTAAATATTTCAGAACATTTCTTTACCTGGGGTACCGGGGCATCTGGGGGTCTGCGGACACTTATATTAATAGATAATTGGCAAGATTTGTTGGACGAATTATGTTTTCCTTATTACATAGTATTTGGGTGTTTTAATGATGATGTGTTGTATACATTTCTCACACTTGATTTTGTTTTGTCAAGTTTTTGCTTGGATCTAATGGGTTGTGTTCATGTGACATCACCACCTTCCAAAGATCCAATAGTTTACAATGGTGGTGGTAACTATCACAAGTCAGACCTCACAAATCAAAAAATTGTCACAAAGTTCCATGTCGATTCACATTAACTACGGTCTAATTATGTTCTCTTCAACACTAATGATGATAATAATGCAATGAATTTCTATAACACTTTTTTGTACACTCAAAGATGCTTCCCATGTCATTATTAATTTACTGCATAAGCAGTGGTAATAAACTATTACTGTAGCCACAGGTGCCTTGGGGCAAATTGACAGAAGCGAGGCCACCTGTGTGTGGGGGCAAAGGCACATACAGTCTAGACTAATTCCAGGCAAAGTGGGTGAAGTGTCTTGCCTAAGGACACCGCAACAGTTTGGGACTTTGCTGCTGCTACACTGTGGCACCTAGAGGTCTCCCAGCATGGTTCTAAACAGGCTCGGTCCTGCTTAGCTTCAGAGGTGTGAGCGGATCTGGCTTTTACATGCAGGTGGTGACAATAGCAAAAACATAAGTTGGTCTTATTCTGGGAATGATCTGATCTGACTTTTTCAAAATGTCTTTCAGCAAAATCTACTTTCCTATATTTCTACAACATGAACACAACTTATTAGAATAAAAAAAATAATCGGCAATATACAAATAAACATATAACTAATGCCATAAGTCTGGGAGTACTCAAGGTGGTTGGTAGTTAGATTTGAATTTTGTTTAATTTGTAGATTTTTTCCGGAAAGCTTGTCTCTTGTCTCTTTGAAGTGGCTTGATCTAGATTTGCCTTTAAGAAAAAAATGATGCAGTTGAGAATAAACAGAAAGCCATATTTAAAAAAAATAAAAAGTTTGTTCAAGTGCCGGCAATAACAAAGGAATGTATTGTAACACCCCAAAACAATCTCAGAGAATATTCCTTATTTATTTACAATCAGAATCGTGCGACGGGTTTGTCTCTTAAAGCTGTGAACGGACGTTTCCCACGGCGACAAAGGAAAGGGCTGACTTTTCTTCTGCTGTTCGCTGACGAGTCGTGTTCTGCTGCTTTGCGAATCAGCAGAAATCGTTCAGTGTTTTTTCTGTCTTCGCTCCCAGAACGTTAGAACTGGGCTCAGTGCTTCGGCCCACTCTTTGTCTGCACCACTTTCTCCTGCACTACAGTTTCTATTCGGAAGGATTGTTGTTGCTGTTTCTGGCGTTAATTAAAAGAAAATGTCTTTTAATACAGTTGTGTTTCATCACTGCTCGTTGCATTTTTCTGCAGTATTATTTATGGGAAATATGGCTTAGAGATACAAGACTAGAATAACTTATGGATTGTCACTTAACACAAATAGCCTTGCGTTATAAGTGTAGAAAATAACATCATACTTTTAAAAACTATTGAAACTACTGTACATGATATTAACAGATACACTACCGTTCAAAAGTTTGGGGTCACCCAAGTGTTTTCCATGAAAAGTCACACTTATTCACCACCATACGTTGTGAAATAAATAGAAAATAGATTCAAGACATTGACAAGGTTAGAAATAATAATTTGTATTTGAAATAAGATTTGTTTTACATCCAACTTTGCTTTCGTCAAAGAATCCTCCATTTGCAGCAATTACAACATTGCACCAAAAACCAGACATTTGCAGCTAGAATAGTCATTTACCACATAAGCAATGTATAGAGTGTATTTCTTTACAGTTAAGACTAGTTTAAAGTTATCTACAGCTTTTCCTTCAAAAATAAGGACATTTCAATGTGACCCCAAACTTTTGAACGGTAGTGTCAAAAGTAGTGCCATTAGTAGTGCCATTAAAAGTGCTAAAATAATGACAGTATTTAATTTTTTTTATTAAGAGGAACAGAAAATAATTTAAACAATTTACAGAATGTACAAAAATGTGGTTATCCTTTTTAATTATTTTTTCTAAACCCCCCCTTCTCCCTCCTCTCTACCCTCCGCCCACCCCCTTCCCTCCGCCCACCCCCTTCCCTCCGCCCACCCCCTTCCCTCCCAATACTATAGAATTGTATTAGTTCATAGTCTGAAGAAGAAGCTAATTTATTTTTTCGATGCATAGACCGATTTCACAATAGCAGCCGTCTTGAAGAACTTAAAGTAACCAACAACAAATCAGAGAATGAAAAAACTAGAAAACACAGGAAATGCAGAAGAAGAAAACAAAGGAGCCGTTGGTTTATGAGTGATCTGTTATCACCAAGTCAGTCCAGCATAACCCTAACTTAACCCTTTTACCTATTCTTAACCTGAAAGAATAGAGAAAGAAGGTCCTGGGTTCGAAGTTTGCATGTTCTCCCTGTGTCTGCTCCGGTTTCCTCCAGGTGCTCCTGTTTTCCCTACCACTAAAAACATGCACAAAAGGTCTGAATGTAATGAGTGAGTGAATGGATGGTGTTGGTCGGGGGTTTTTGATGCGCCAGTGGGTGAGACTGACAAGCCGTTTCAAAGTATCCACAACAGAGTAGTGAAAAGTAGTGACAGTTCCCAACCGATATCAGGCGCTAAGCAGGGCAGGGCCTGGTTAGTACTGTGATGGGAGACCTCTGTGAGCACTAGGTACACCACAGTGGAGCGTGTTGTTGTGTCCTCAGGCAAGACACGTCACCCAAATTGCCTAGAATGAGTCTGGTGTGTGGAACAGTTGGTAGTGGTCACAGGGGCCAATGGCACATACAGTTGTCTGGCTTACTTCTGCCAGTGTGCCCCAGAGCAGCTGTGGCACAGGGATATGTAGTCCAGATATAACCATTGTGTATTGGGTTAATACTTATGCCAGGAAGAATTTTTGAGTGTCATGATAAGCTTGATATTGAACCAATGCAGTATTACTGATTTCAGCATGTTTATGACTCTTAAACTAAGGTTTGCAAAGTCACTAGAAATTTCTCAGTCAAAATAAAGACAAATATATGCTTGATGTTTAGGTTTTAGCTGCGTGTTCCCCTGGCAAATGTTTTAAATTGTGTGTGTGTTTTTCTTTTCTTTTTTTTGAGCGCATCCCCTTTTCTTGAACACTTCTCTTTCCCACCACACAGAGGCGCTCCTGAACCACTAACGCGCTTGTGTCTGCTCTCAGCCTCAGCATCAGCACCACCGCCTCCACTCTTCATCTCCTCATGTCAGCGGAACAAATGCTTTTCTACGAGACAAGCGCAGGCATTAGACAACAACAAGCTCTGTCACAGAAATTCTGTTAACTTAAATTATGATCCCAGCTCCTGAGTGCCGTTCATAACACCGTAGTCTGCGGTTGATTTAGTAAAATGCCTCAAAACAGACACTAAATGTTATGGCTGCTGATAGATGACAAACTTACTTTAGATGTTGCGCTGGGCGTACCTTGTCTATAGTGAATGAAGATGGGAATAAGGATGAAGTAGACTAAAGAGATTCATGAAGACTTAGGCTTAATCAATAAAAATATGATTAAATGTTGTTTATACTTTTTTATTTCATTTTACAGAAAAAATGAAACAAAAATGTGTCCTATACGTCTGAGTTTGTTTGTACCTCAGGTCATGACTCGCACTTGTCCTGGGTGGTTACATGGAAAATATGTCCCTATTGGCCAGTAAGTGGGTTTTTGTTATTGTGTAATGTTTTGTTATTGTATGTTTTGTATGAATGTGAGTGCATGCGTGGTGACTGTGTTGTCTGAAATAATAATAATAATTGGAAAAAATATATCTGGGTTTATTGAACAGAAAAAATAAATAATCAGATATCCTCTTTCAACAACAAAAAAGTCCCTTTGACTGCAATCTTCCAAATTTACATATTTCAAAGTTCCATGTTTAATTTTGGCTATATTTATTTCCATGGACTATTGCATATGGTTTTCTACCTCCAGAAAGTCTAGATTAAAGTCAGCGTCTCAACAAGGATGCAGCAAATTACATCTAAACCATGAATTCTCAATGTATTTAACAGCATAGGCCAGAAACAAGGGGAGCGACCATAGACTGCTGCTCATCAGACTGAGCTCACAACTTTCAGAATTTCAGAAACTGGCAACCCAGGATTTTTTTTCTCTCTGCATTTGACCCATCCTTAAGGCCGTCACACTCAGTTAGAATTCAACACTGGAGACCTGACTTAATTATGATGCAGTGTAGATGCAGATTTTAGCAGTAAATAAGTATTATTTACTGTAATGCATGAATATATGATGTCATGAATACAAATAGTCTAAATAATTGGGAAGTTCCATGTCACTGAATGAATATGTGCTGCTGCAGAGCCGAGCCACACACAGCACATTACCTCATTGTGTGAATTTTCATGGAGAGAGAGAAAAGTCCTCCACTCACGGACCATAATTATTCCTGGCTTTACTTTATCACAGCTGCTTCCTTGTAGGTTTGGAAGGGTCAGCCAAACGCACGCCACGCGTCCTCCGCTCGCTGGAACTCAACCCTAACAAGCCGCTTTTGTGTAGCCTGTGTGTGTGTGTGTGCGTGTGCGTGTGTGTGCATATGTGTTTGTGTGGGTCTTGTGTGTGTACTTGTGTGTTGGTCTGTGTGTGCCTCTGTCTCTCTCTGTGTGTGTGTGTGTGTGTACTTGTGTGTTGG